TATGTCCACTATTACACATATTTCTATGGTGAGCTATAGCATATCAACCCTTATGTCCACTATAACACATTTTTCTATGGTGAGCTACATCAACCCTTATGTCCACTATTACACATTTTTCTATGGTGAGCTACATCAACCCTTATGTCCACTATTACACATTTTTCTATGGTGAGCTACATCAACCCTTATGTCCACTATTACACATTTTTCTATGGTGAGCTACATCAACCCTTATGTCCGCTATTACACATTTTTCTATGGTGAGCTACATCAACCCTTATGTCCACTATTACACATTTTTCTATGGTGAGCTACATCAACCCTTATGTCCACTATTACACATATTTCTATGGTGAGCTACAGCATATCAACCCTTATGTCCACTATAACACACTTTTCTATGGTGAGCTACATCAACCCTTATGTCCACTATTACACATATTTCTATGGTGAGCTACATCAACCCTTATGTCCACTATAACACATATTTCTATGGTGAGCTACAGCATATCAACCCTTATGTCCACTATTACACATTTTTCTATGGTGACATCAACCCTTATGTCCACTATTACACATTTTTCTATGGTGAGCTACATCAACCCTTATGTCCACTATTACACATTTTTCTATGGTGAGCTACATCAACCCTTATGTCCACTATTACACATATTTCTATGGTGAGCTACAGCATATCAACCCTTATGTCCACTATTACACATTTTTCTATGGTGAGCTACAGCATATCAACCCTTATGTCCACTATTACACATTTTTCTATGTGAGCTACATCAACCCTTATGTCCACTATTACACATTTTTCTATGGTGAGCTACAGCATTTCAACCCTTATGTCCACTATTACACATTTTTCTATGGTGAGCTACATCAACCCTTATGTCACCTATTACACATTTTTCTATGGTGAGCTACATCAACCCTTATGTCCACTATTACACATTTTTCTATGGTGAGCTACATCAACCCTTATGTCCACTATTACACATTTTTCTATGGTGAGCTACATCAACCCTTATGTCCACTATTACACGTTTTTCTATGGTGAGCTACATCAACCCTTATGTCCACTATTACACATTTTTCTATTGTGAGCTACATCAACCCTTATGTCTACTATTACACATATTTCTATGGTGAGCTACAGCATATCAACCCTTATGTCCACTATTACACATTTTTCTATGGTGAGCTACATCAACCCTTATGTCCACTATTACACATATTTCTATGGTAAGCTACATCAACCCTTATGTCCACTATTACACATTTTTCTATGGTGAGCTACAGCATATCAACCCTTATGTCCACTATTACACATTTTTCTATGGTGAGCTACATCAACCCTTATGTCCACTATTACACATATTTCTATGGTGAGCTACATCAACCCTTATGTCCACTATTACACATATTTCTATGGTGAGCTACAGCATATCAACCCTTATGTCCACTATTACACATTTTTCTATGGTGAGCTACATCAACCCTTATGTCCACTATTACACATATTTCTATGGTGAGCTACATCAACCCTTATGTCCACTATTACACATATTTCTATGGTGAGCTACATCATATCAACCCTTATGTCCACTATTACACATATTTCTATGGTGAGCTACATCAACCCTTATGTCCACTAATACACATATTTCTATGGTGAGCTACATCAACCCTTATGTCCACTATTACACATTTTTCTATGGTGAGCTACATCAACCCTTATGTCCACTATTACACATTTTTCTATGGTGAGCTACATCAACCCTTATGTCCACTATTACACATTTTTCTATGGTGAGCTACATCAACCCTTATGTCCACTATTACACATATTTCTATGGTGAGCTACATCAACCCTTATGTCCACTATTACACATATTTCTATGGTGAGCTACAGCATATCAACCCTTATGTCCACTATTACACATTTTTCTATGGTGAGCTACATCAACCCTTATGTCCACTATTACACATATTTCTATGGTGAGCTACAGCATATCAACCCTTATGTCCACTATTACACATTTTTCTATGGTGAGCTACATCAACCCTTATGTCCACTATTACACATATTTCTATGGTGAGCTACATCAACCCTTATGTCCACTTTTACACATTTATCTATGGTGAGCTACAGCATATCAACCCTTATGTCCACTATTACACATTTTTCTATGGTGAGCTACATAAACCCTTATGTCCACTATTACACATATTTCTATGGTGAGCTACATCAACCATTATGTCCACTATTACACATATTTCTATGGTGAGCTACAGCATATCAACCCTTATGTCCACTATTACACATATTTCTATGGTGAGCTACATCAACCCTTATGTCCACTATTACACATATTTCTATGGTGAGCTACATCAACCCTTATGTCCACTATTACACATATTTCTATGGTGAGCTACATCAACCCTGATGTCCATTATTACACATTTTTCTATGGTGAGCTACATCAACCCTTATGTCCACTATTACACATATTTTTATGGTGAGCTACAGCATATCAACTCTTATGTCCACTATTACACATATTTCTATGGTGAGCTACATCAACCCTTATGTCCACTATTACACATTTTTCTATGGTGAGCTACAGCATATCAACCCTTATGTCCACTATTACACGTTTTTCTATGGTGAGCTACATCAACCCTTATGTCCACTATTACACATATTTCTATGGTGAGCTACATCAACCCTTATTTCCACTTTTACACATTTATCTATGGTGAGCTACAGCATATCAACCCTTATGTCCACTATTACACATTTTTCTATGGTGAGCTACATCAACCCTTATGTCCACTATTACACATATTTCTATGGTGAGCTACATCAACCATTATGTCCGCTATTACACATATTTCTATGGTGAGCTACAGCATATCAACCCTTATGTCCACTATTACACATATTTCTATGGTGAGCTACATCAACCCTTATGTCCACTATTACACATATTTCTATGGTGAGCTACATCAACCCTTATGTCCACTATTACACATATTTCTATGGTGAGCTACATCAACCCTGATGTCCATTATTACACATTTTTCTGTGGTGAGCTACATCAACCCTTATGTCCACTATTACACATATTTTTATGGTGAGCTACAGCATATCAACCCTTATGTCCACTATTGCACATATTTCTATGGTGAGCTACATCAACCCTTATGTCCACTATTACACATATTTCTATGGTGAGCTACAGCATATCAACCCTTATGTCCACTATTACACATTTTTCTATGGTGAGCTACATCAACCCTTATGTCCACTATTACACATATTTCTATGGTGAGCTACATCAACCCTTATGTCCACTATTACACATTTTTCTATGGTGAGCTACATCAATCCTTATGTCCACTATTACACATTTTTCTATGGTGAGCTACATCAACCCTTATGTCCGCTATTACTCATTTTTCTATGGTGAGCTACATCAACCCTTATGTCCACTATTACACGTTTTTCTATGGTGAGCTACATCAACCCTTATGTCCACTATTACACATTTTTCTATGGTGAGCTACAGCATATCAACCCTTATGTCTACTATTACACATTTTTCTATGGTGAGCTACAGCATATCAACCCTTATGTCCACTATTACACATTTTTCTATGGTGAGCTACATCAACCCTTATGTCCACTATTACACGTTTTTCTATGGTGAGCTACATCAACCCTTATGTCCACTATTACACATTTTTCTATGGTGAGCTACAGCATATCAACCCTTATGTCTACTATTACACATTTTTCTATGGTGAGCTACAGCATATCAACCCTTATGTCTACTATTACACATTTTTCTATGGTGAGCTACAGCATATCAAACCTTATGTCCACTATTACACATTTTTCTATGGTGAGCTACATCAACCCTTATGTCCACTATTACACATTTTTCTATGGTGAGCTACATCAACCCTTATGTCCACTATTACACATTTTTCTATGGTGAGCTACATCAACCCTTATGTCCACTATTACACATTTTTCTATGGTGAGCTACATCAACCCTTATGTCCACTATTACACATTTTTCTATGGTGAGCTACATTAATCCTTATGTCCGCTATTACACATTTTTCTACGGTGAGCTACATCAACCCTTATGTCTGCTATTACACATTTTTCTATGGTGAGCTACATCAACCCTTATGTCCACTATTACACATTTTTCTATGGTGAGCTACATCAACCCTTATGTCCACTATTACACATTTTTCTATGGTGAGCTACATCATCCCTTATGTCCACTATTACATATATTTCTATGGTGAGCTACATCAACCCTTATGTCCACTATTACACATTTTTCTATGGTGAGCTACAGCATATCAACCCTTATTTCCACTATAACACATTTTTCTATGGTGAGCTACAGCATATCAACCCTTATGTCCACTATTACACATTTTTCTATGGTGAGCTACATCAACCCTTATGTCCACTATTACACGTTTTTCTATGGTGAGCTACATCAACCCTTATGTCCACTATTACACATTTTTCTATGGTGAGCTACAGCATATCAACCCTTATGTCTACTATTACACATTTTTCTATGGTGAGCTACAGCATTTCAACCCTTATGTCCACTATTACACATTTTTCTATGGTGAGCTACATCAACCCTTATGTTCACTATTACACGTATTTCTATGGTGAGCTACAGCATATCAACCCTTATGTCCACTATTACACATTTTTCTATGGTGAGCTACATCAACCCTTATGTCCACTATTACACATTTTTCTATGGTGAGCTACAGCATATCAACCCTTATGTCTACTATTACACATTTTTCTATGGTGAGCTACAGCATATCAACCCTTATGTCTACTATTTCACATTTTTCTATGGTGAGCTACATCAACCCTTATGTCTACTATTACACATTTTTCTATGGTGAGCTACATCAACCCTTATGTCTATACAAACCTCTAGATGGTGGAGTACTATCAACAAACATTCCCTGAGATGTAGAAGTTATACATATCTCAGCACTGTTACAGGAAATTAAGGTCACATAATAGGTCACTCCATCATGTAAATCTAGTCCAGTAAATACATAGGACCTGGCTATACCATTCACCTGGAAATTGATTAGAAAAAAAATGAAATCTATGTAGAAGTACTATTCCTTTGAACATGAAAACAGGTTAATACATCATTATGAATGCCTAAATAATAAGAGAGTGTATTTAATGATCTTGACTACTGACCAATTATGTATAATTTACCAAAACATGATCTAACATCCTGTTCCATTTCTGTCCTAATGCAAGATTGTAATGCATTGTTGACTTTTAAAAGTACTGTGGATTCATTTATTTTTGTGGGTACCAATTTTTGTTGTTTAAGGAAAACTTGCATTTTTGGGATATTTGATTTCGTGGTTTTCCAAAAGTCTGCATATAATCATACAGCAAATTTGTCATTCGTTGAACATTTCAAACAAATGTACATAGTCTTCACCATGATGACCTATGGTAGTGCTCTTCTAGTAATGGTTGAAAATACATGAAACTGAACTGATGCAAACTAACTGATTATGAAAACAAAATGAATTATCTCCCCCTGATGAGAAATTGTGAGACAAACCTTACTGACTAATGACAACATGAATTATTTGCCCCGATGTGTGATTGCAAGACAAAATTACTGATTGTAATGACAACAAAAATTCTCATCTGATGTGAGATTGTGAGACAAAATTACTGACTCTAATAACAACATGAATTCTCATCTGATGTGAGATTGTGATTCTCATCTGATGTGAGATTGTGAGACAAAATTACTAACTCTAATAACAACATGAATTCTCTCTTCTGATGTTGCAAACTAACTGAATGTTAGATTGTGAGACAAACTTAATGATTGTAATGGCAACACAAATACCTTCACTTGATGTGTGATTGTGATAAAAACATGCTGAATGTAATTGTAAAAGAAATAATGTCCTCTGGTGTAAGATTGTGATAAACTTACTGACTGTAACATTAACATGAATTATCTCCCCTGATGTGAGATTGAGACAACTTTTTCACTGCATTAACCTGAATTCTTTCCTCAGGTGTGAGAGCAACAAATTTACTGTATTGAAACCATGAATTGTCTCCCCTGATGTCAGATTGTAATGTCAACTTACTGACTGTGAAGACAGCATGAACTCTCCTCCAATGTGAGATTTGACAGACAAATATTGACTGTTATGACAACATTAATTGTCTCCCCTGATGTCAGATTGTTATGATAACTTACTGACTGTGATGGCAGCATGAATTGTCTCCCCTGATGTCAAATTGTAATGTCAATTACTGACTGTTAAGACAGCATGAACTCTCCTCCAATATGAGATTTGACGGACAGATATTGACAGTTATGACAAAATGAATTGTCTCCCCTGATGTCAGATTGTAATGTCAACTTACTGACTGTGAAGACAGCATGAACTCTCCTCCAATATGAGATTTGACAGACAGATACTGTCTTTTTATATATGACTCGTCGTCATCATCAGCCCATTCCACCTTCATTGATGTTCTATAGATCTGTGTCAATCCCTTAATTCCAAAGTCAGTTGAGAATGTAGGTGGTTTTGCTATAACTGGTGGTGTGTTGTCCACAATAAAACCATTAGATGATGATTCAGACCACAAACCTGTATTAACAAAAGAATGATTACACCATCTGTCTATTGTTTAAGCTTTTTTCAAGATGACTATTAATAATATATCATAAGAATTCTCTTCCACATTCAAGGTAAACATGACAATCATGTGAAAGTATGAGAATTGACAGCTTTCTTAAATTAGTACCACCCACTGTTTGCTATGCAAATAAAAAACTACAAATTCAAGGATAACCTTTTCCCAGAAAATTGTCCCACTAGAAATAACAAAGAATCTACAGTATGCTGGTTCCAAAGATACACCACTTGTTGGAAAGTTAAACATCAATATTATAGATATTACTAAACTGCATCTTTATCATTATTCTTTGTTGAACAATTTTGAGGATGGAGGCAAACTATGAATTTAAATCACCAACTAAAATTTGATTTTCAATTTATTTGAATGGAATTTTGAGACAGATTGACAATAAATGTGTAATACTATTTATTTAGATAAAGAAAAATAAGTGATTTATTTGCATTATTTAGACTGTTTAAACAAATACTAAATATTTGTTTTTGTTAGATTCAATTCTTCAACATTGCCATATAAGGGAAAATAACTCTTATAGTAAAAATTTCATACTGGAATGCTAACAAACTTTTACTTGTAACAAGAAAACGATTTCGGTGACACTATTTTTTCTTTTAATTTTCTTAAAGTATATTCTCATATTTAATTTCAAAATTCTATCTCATAGATTTCTTTTCATTCACAAAAAAAGCTTATTTTCATGAATAATCTATACAAAATTAGGCTAGTCTAAACAACTTGTAGCTTGAAAAATACAGTGACCCATACTTTTTATTGTATTTTTGAAAAAAGCATGGCAAAAAGTACATTTTGGCAACGTATAAGAAAATTCTATCTCAGGAAATATATACCGATGGTTCACCTTAATCTCTAATGGAAAGATTGCTTATAAAATGTAAATTTATAGGCATTCCCCTGTTCTCAAACATCTCATCATTCCTTACAATAATTTATTGATAAATTTTTTAAAGTTCCATCGTGCCTTAACAAAAATAAACAGATGACACAGAGATATGTCTCACCTTTATCTAATTCAGATAGCATAATGCAAATGTTGAACTTAAAATTTAAACTGACCTAAATGCAAACTTTCAAAGTCAATTAACCATGATGGAAAGAGATGTGTAACTGTTAATAATAATACATCTGCATACAAAATATCATTGTTTGACCTCTAACGGTTATCTAATCACAAACTTTAATATGTAAACTAAGTAACAGTTTCGAAGTCCATAGATCATAACTGAGCAGTGGGGCCAAATGATTTCAATGGAAATGAGATGTGCCAATTCTTATACAACTGCATGCCAAATATCATTGACCTACCACTGGTAGTTCCACTCAAACTGACCTAATCACAAATAAATACATTGTTGACGCTGCCTGCTGGCATCAGCCTGTGATAGTCTCACTTTCTCCATTTCATTGAGGAGAGACAAAACTCATATTTAAATGGTGAAACACTAGTTTTGATATGAATTATCTAAAGCAGAACTATTATCTTATGTTTTTTTTAATTAATAAATACATTTATCAATAAAGTAGATGTTGAACTTATTTACTAATGGCATTTGCTCATCCTTAACATGCATGAAATATTTCTTCTATACTCTGTTCATCTGTCAGTTTTTAAAATATAAAATTTTGTAATAAAGATAGAATTAATCACTGCTAATTGTTCACTCCCCCCTCCCCCACCCAAACATCCTTGAAAAACCCAAAAGAATTTAGATCAAAGTTTGACTATTAAAGTGAGAGCGTCATGACCACAAATAACCCCCTTCAAAGTCTATGGGCTTGGCGGGCAACATACAACAGAAGACAGGTGTTAATACAATATGTCCTCAAGATCTAATTAGTCCCAAGTTATAAATATATGAATAAATTTAACAAAATCAATCAAGTATCTGCCATCAACACCATATTCTCTAACTTGGACTTAAAGACAAGGACTGATGAAGTTCTTGGAACAGGTGCATGATTGGGGTAGGGTTAAACTAGTTGTTCATCTTCATTTAAGTTAGATCTATATGGCAAGCTGTTTTACTATTATTTTAACTTCAAGATATTAAAGATATCTTATATATTTTATAAGATATCTTATAAAGTTTATAAGATATCTCATATAATTTTCTTTATAAGATATCTTATAAATTATATGAGATATCTTTAAGTTCAAATAAATAGTAAAACGGCTTGCCATAGATCTATCTGTGCTACTGTCTACTTCATCACATAACTTGTCATGATATATAACTACAATACTAATGGCAGTGTACATACCTAGTTTATTATATGCTCTTACTGTTACATAAATTCTCTTGTTCAAAGGAAGGTCAAGGTTATAACTAGTAGAGTTCAGTAATGCTGCAGTCTCTGTCAAATGGAGCGCTATAGGAGGTACTATATCATCATAACCTGGCTTTGTTCCTGCCCTCCAAATATACTTCTGGAGACCAGACTGAGGGTCATCAAACCCATACCACTTGGCTGATATGTAGATCCTGTGTAATAAAAATAAAGACTGTCAGATGCGACTCTATAGAGAATACTTTGTCATCAAAACCTGATTTGTTCATGCCTTCCAAACATACTTTATTCAGTGTATATGACACACCTACAAGTAGAGGGGAATAATATTGCTAAGTTATCAAAGGGATTTTAATTTAAATGATGGGAAGGATTTTGGTACATGTGCACACGAGTGGTTAAGTTAAACTAAGTTTTTGATAATGATTTTCAAAGTATGGTTTTCTGCCATGAACCCAACACACCTTCAAGTACATGTAGTGGTAAATAAGTTATTTTTGTGCATATGCACAGTGGTGCCTTGGTTTAACTAAGTTTTTGACTTACGGCATTGATTGATATTCAGTATCGTAGAATCCTGTTCCATCTTGTACTGCCCCAGCTGTTGGTGGACTGTTGTCTATAATCACGCCATCTGATGTCGCAGTAGTACACATGTCTGCTGTGTTACATGCTGTCACTGTTGTGTAATACCTCAGTCCTGTACCAAGGTGGGTGTTCTCTAATGTAAATTCTGAAATAAAACAAAAGATACAGATGTAAGATATATGTGTTAAGTTTGCGTCATGTTACACATGCCGTCACAGTGGTGTAATATCTCCATCCTGTACCAAGGTGGATGTTTGCTGATGTAAATTCTGAAGTAAAACAAAACATACTTAGTTTTCTCAATTGAATTGTTTCATATTTTTCATGGAGGGGCCTTTTATAGCCGACTATAAGGTATGGATTTTTCTCATTGTTGAAGGCTGTACGGTTGACTATAATTGCTTACATCCACTTCATTTGAACTTTGGTGGATAGTTGTCTCATTAGCAATCATACCACATCTCCTTATTTTTATATATGTAAGACATATTTGTTACACGTTTGCAGTTGATACATGCTGTCACTGTGGTATATATCTCAGTCTAGAACAAAGATGGATGTTCACTAATGTAAATTCTATAATAAATAATATAAAAAATGTGTTGTGTGCAAAGTTGGAGTGTATTATTCACATGATGAAAAATTATTCCGTTCAATTCCATTTCATAATTTTCACAATATATTTTCCGTGAGTATGACATTTATGTCCCATGGTCATAATGGGACCAGATGTTTTGCATAGTAAATTCTCTTGACAACAATGTCCTCGAATGTTATTATATGTTAACATGCAGTTAATTACCTTCTCAGATAATTATCTTCTTCTTCTTCTTTTTTTTCTTACGGAAGTCCACCCTATTTGCAGGGTCACCGCATTAAAATATTTTAGTTTCTATTTTTAAAAATGAGTAACTTTAAAAATGACGCATCATGTATGATTTTTGTACAAGAGTCGTTTATTTGTCCTTAAACATCTTCCTTGTCTGTTTACATGTTGACCAGAAATAGGGATTATGTATTTATGTAGTTATATTTATCCTTAACATTCTAAAAAGAGTACAACAGTTTTTAGTTTAAAATCAGACGTTTCCAGGACTGTTCATAGTATATATTCACACTGGGGATAGGTTGATACATACCATACGTAATTCCCACAGCCTGTTCCTGTAAAATATCTTCACACTGTGGACAGGTCCCAACAGAAACATAATAATCTTTAATGGTGGAATGAGATTCATGGAAACCTTCCCAACAGGCATGTAACACTTTGGTGTCTGTTTGGTAGTCAATGTCCTTGACACTTCCTGTCAGCTGACTTTTATCTCCATCATACACATGACCAGGTGTAGGTGGCGTTGTGTCCACTTTGAAAGCCCAGGATGTAGCTAATGATGATAATCCTGCCTTATTGAATGCCTAAATAAATAATATGCTACACTATATTCTTAATATATTCAGCTACATAAATTTATTTTCAATGTTTTCATGTTCACATGTCCATGTAGATGTCAATTTGTTTGCTAGAAGTAGGTTTTCTTTTTTTTTATAAGTAAATCATTGTGAATGTCACCTGTTTAATTTAAATCAGTCATGATAAATAGTCATTGTAGTTTCAGTCATAACTGTAACGTTGTAGTTTACTTTGTAAATAATAAGACAACCTTCATACAACCTTTCAGAAATATACCACTATAGACGCTCCATGTTAAGTTTATTTTCCATTAAAACAGTACTATTTCAATGACTGAAAATCTTGGTAGTTGTTTGAAATGCAAATACTACTTTATTAGTCAGAATGAAACAAAGTATTTAGCTAAAAATGCTGTGAATGAGAACAAGAAATAAGATAGACCACCGAAGATGCTTTTCCTGGAGAAATTATGGATGGTTGAGTATTCATATACTAACTAAAAATATCAAACTCTCATAATAATTTGAAAGTCAATAATTTTTAACCTAGCCATCACATGTCATAAAGACCATATGGTACATCAGCAAAAGGACCATCACATTTCAGTGCTGACCACCACACTTTAGCATGACCATCGCATTTTAGCATCCCCATATATATATCAGTACTTACCCATACATTGATGTAATAAAAATGACCATCCTGCAGTGCCTAAGAATTATGTTTGTCTGTCTATCACAACTTACTCACCCTGACATTGATATAATAAAAATGACCATCCTGGAGATCTAAAGGATTGTTTTCGTCTGTCATTCCACATTCTTCATCAACAACTTTCAAATAAGACATCATATCTGTATATCCAGGCTCTGAACCAATTGACCACAGGTAATAATCTATACCAGACTCTACATCAATAAATACTCCTTTCCAACTGTAAAATATAAAAACAATGCATGGTTATCCTGGCTCTAATCTCACTGACCACACAGAAAAACTCTAGGTCATACTCCTCAAAGGATCCTCTTGGGGGTAACAATCGGCAATTGTCAGTCTGACTCCTGACTTGTAACAGACACTGTCAAATGAAGATGGCCCGTTGAACAAAGTTTTGCAGTGGACAAAACCTACCACTTGTATAACAGCCATTTAAGTTCAATTATGTTTCTTGAAGTCAATGTTCCCAATGGAACAGGTAAACATGCATACATTGCTGTGTATTGGAACATCTAAAACAGACAAGGCTGTGTATTTGAACAGCAAGACAGACATAGCTGTTTGTACATTCCACACAACCAAACATACCCAATCAATAACTGATATCTTCAGGGAGTGAAGGGTATTTGCCATTAATAACTTATAAATGGCAGTTTCAATTGGGTCTTCTTTGACTTTAGGGGTTCAAACCCATATTGAGCTATACTACACTGATCCTTCCCCGAAATCTTACCCTTACCCATATCTATAATCTGAAGTGTAACCATAACCTCAAACCTAAATTTAAGACAGATCAAACTCTTAACTAACCATAACCATCAATAAATCCTGAGCTTAAAGTGCCAGGACCCTGCCATGGCCATTAAATTGGCATATTATAATCTTTGATTTGGTGGAATCATTTATTTTTCAAAGTAATACATCAATTCCTCCTTTCTTTTTTGTTTGATGGAAAAGGCTTACAAAAAGAGCTGGGAGAAAAGTTTTATGAAAAGAGGGATATATGTTCTAAACTTCTTTAATCAAAATTTTTAAATGTCAATATGACAGCATATAATAGTCTATATGATTTCGTGGGGTAATTTTCTCACCACGAATTAATTATAACTTAGTCATTACTTACCATGGACTAATCTCTGTTGTTGATGTGATATGACGATTTGATAAAGTGATTGGTTTGTCAGATCTCTCTGGTGGTGTGTAGTCTATTGTAATTGGGTCGGACACTTTTTGTGTTTCCCTGTTAGCAAAATCAACAGCTAAAATAAATATGGCAGTACTTGAATGAATCATTCATACATAACAAATCACATTTTTTTTTTATATAAAATCCCTGAATTAGACCTAGACATCAACATAAGACTGAGCTTTATGTTCAGATATAACTGGATAAAATGTGTGATTGCATACATGTGATACACAATTAAACTATTCTATTTTATCTATATATTCATAAAATCCATATTAATTCATTCCTGTTTTACATGTGTAATAAACAAGAGTGCATACACAGAATTTTATGTTGAAAAATTTACAATAAAAATTTATCACATAAACATAAACTTAACTTTGTCAATGATCAAAATGAGGCCACAGTCAGAAGAAACATTTCAGACAAAAATTCACACCTTACAATAACTAGATATCAATTTTGAAGGTAGTATGGGAATTAAAACAAAATATAATAGAATAGTTAATTATACCTGGTCAAAATATAGTTTATAACATGCAATTTAAAGTACAGTCGACTCTCGTTATCTTGAAGTGAGTCGGACCAGAGAAATATTTTGAGATACCCATAGTTCGACTCAAACAATAAACAGCTGCGCCATGAGCGCATGATACGCCCGTCGTCTTGTGTGTGAATTTTTATGCAATAATCATAAATAGTTTCTGACATGCGAAAACCCCCTTTTTTTTTACAAAAAACTCAATATCTCTAAAATAAAATTTTGAATCAAAACCAAAAAGTATAAAGATCTTTAGATTAATATAACTAAGAAGTGTGTAAAATTTTGAGCAATAATCATAAATCGTTTTTGAGATACAGCACGACATGTGAAAACCTCCCTTTTTAAAAAAAAAAAATCAATATCTCAAAAATAAAATTTTGAATCAAAACCAAAAAGTATACAGATCTTTAGATTAGTATAAATAAGAAGTGTGTAAAATTTTAAGCAATAATCATAAATCGTTTTTGAGATACGGCGCGACATGTGAAAAACCCATCCCCCTTTTTTTACAAAATACTCAATAACTCAAAAATGAAATTTTGAATCATCACCAAAAAGTATACAGATCTTAAGATTAATATAACTAAGAAGTGTGTAAAGTTTTAAGCAATAATCTTAAACTGTTTTTGAGATACAGTGCGACATGTGAAAAACCCCTCCCCCTTTTTTAACAAAATACTCAATATCTCTAAAATAAAATTTTGAATCATCACCAAAAAGTATACAGACCTTAACATTAATATAACTAAGAGGTGTGTAAAGTTTTAAGCAATAATCATAAATTGTTTTTGAGATACGGCGCGACATGTGAAAAAAAAACACACACCTGTTTTAGTTACTAAGTACCGTAACTCAAAAAGTTTTAATCTTATTTTCACCAAAAAGTATACAGATCATTTGACCATCATGAGAAACAACTATGTTAAGTTTCATGAAATCTGGATAAGTCGTTCTCAAGTTACGGTGCGACATGTTTACGCCGGATGTGAAAAAAAACACACACCTGTTTTAGTTACTAAGTCCCGTAATTCAAAAAGTTTTAATCTTATTTTCACCAAAAAGTATACAGATCATTTGACCATCATAAGGGCTATTCCATTAAAAAGGAGGTACTAGGGTCGGAAGGCAATTTTTAAGTACCCCAACGACCAAGAGGAATGTACCATGTATCTTAACACCAACCAACAGGAAGTCGTTACATAATAATACAAGAACCAACTGGAATATATCTAACTTATTTTATTCTAATTTACCACAACCAAAGGAATTGTTATTTAAACATTATAGTTACTGGACAATTTAGAGAGGTGGACAGGGTCAAGGAGCTACAATGTTTGGTTATTACTATGATATAAAGGGCTATTTGTATCTCTTTTTTTTTATATTGTTCAATTCATACCCGATTATATAACCCGAAATAATTCAGTCCCTCCCCCTGATCGACTCTCCCACAAGGATGTAGCCATCATAGAGCAGTGGAATATAACGACTGAATTATTCGGGTTACCAAGTATACAATTAAAGTAGTAGTTCAAATTCAAAGCTGTTTAAATGTATCATATCTAGTTGCACTATTATATTAGCTCTGTAAAAATAAAGTAAGAAACTTCCAGATTTTTACTGGCCGTTCAAAATTGAGAAGAAATGACCTCTTGGAATTGTAGATATATGTATACTCTATAAAAACATCTACATGTAATATCAACATTTATTAATGGTAAAGAAAATTACTGTCACATTTCATTGGATTTTGACATGAAAATTTGTGAACTAAAAGTTATTTTGAGTTTCTGTATAAAATATTTCATGCTTTTTCTTTCTTTTCCATATATCTTTTGGTTTTCAATTCAAGTGTTTATATTTCATCATCATAGATGTATTTTGTCACCTGCCTGGAATTATTATTTTTTTTATTGTATTTGATTGGCAAACCCAGAATTACCCTTATCCGTCCCGGAATCTGATCGGGTATTGTAATCCACTTCATTTCCGGTTTATGGCATCCATTGTTTTTTAATGTTGTTTTTGTCAGTCAGATATGATTTTACTCGTATTTACACATTACTTGTTAGCAATTTTCAGTATAAAGCTAGCGGTTGAACAAACTGAGCATCGCTGTCATGAATAATAAAGATAAAAATAAATTTTGAGATCGTTTGGAAGTTTTGGTCCCAAATTGAAAATTGGGAAAAACGTAGGGTATTTGCCATCGCCAATAGGAATGGGTCTGGTATTGGGACCCTGTGGAATGCTAGAAAAATCCCTGGAGGGGTGTACGATCTCAATAGTAATATGGCTTTAAAATGACCATACTGATGGTTAAAAAGGTTGTCAAAGTTAATTTTTATTTTCTTTCAAATCGAAGGTCCGTTGGGCCTAGCTAGTAACCAAACGAAAGTCCGATTGCAATAGTGGAAGGTCGCGGACCTCGGACCACCACTAATTTGAACCTCTGATTATTATTTTCAAAAGAATTTGACATCGTTCGCCATGTGCTTGTCATTAAAGGGAAGTAACTCTTTCACTTTCGGAACTGGTACCATAGGTAGAATACAACGTTGCGCCTGCCGCTGCGTAAGTCGCGGGAACAGTTATGTTTTCCAAAATATCACGATAAGAGCAGGAGACAAAAACAATCGGTTATATAAGTCCTTGCAAAAACAAATAATAATGAAAAACGGAAAATAACACATTGAAACTGACAGTCACGAAAATGACTGTCAAAGAAGACCAACAACCAACAATACTTAGTTTCTCTAAACACCAAGGGCCACTGGCCATACACGCTTCAACACATCAACAACCAACGGTATTTTTTATAATTGCCGTCCGACCCTGGTACATTCTTTTTAATGGAATAGCCCTAAGAAACAACTATGTTAAATTTCATGAAATCTGGATAAATCGTTCTCAGGTAACGGTGTGACATGTTTACGCTGGACAGACAGACGGACAGACGGACAGACACTGGACATTTGTATACCATAATACGTCCCGTCAAAAATTGACGGGCGTATAAAAACTGTAAGTTTGACAGACCAAGGGACAAAACTCTTGCTTACCTTGGTAAGGCTAAAATAAATCCACATAAATATGGGTAGGGGATCAATATTCTGGTCTCAGATCGATGTATTTGTATGTTATGGTCTTTTATTATTATAATAACATTTTACATTTTCATCTCTTATTTATATCTTTGAACATGTGTTTTTTAGCCGAGAGAGTAATTTCCAATGGATCTTAGCGTGATTTAAAGTTGAAAAAATAGTTCTTTCTCGTATACAAGAGATTTTAGAAAATTTAGAGTTCTTCTTTTAATTTTCTTTCATTTCAATCTTTTTCTGGAAGAGAAAATACCAAAAGAATAAAGACGCCGATTGAGTTATTTTGAGTGGATCACTAACGGAAGTATTAATCCCTACTTTATACACATCCATGCAAGCAAATAAGTGTATGATTAAGGTTAATTGTTTTTAAAACATTTTAATTTTTTTTCATACTATAACAATGTATCAGCGATTATTTATCATGGTGATCAAAGATAATCTTAGGTAAACACTCGTGAAAAAAGAATGTCATAAATCAATACAGTGGTCAGTAACGGAAAATTTAATTACACGTGTATTGTCAGGTGAACTCTTCAATCCATTTAAATCCCCGAGGTCATGTTTAGACATATGTGTATTAGTTTGAGATAAATAATGAATTTTGAATGCTTTTGTTAACCTTGGGACCGTAAATTTAGTTCAGGTCAACCGAAATTTCAAGAGTCGAAATGCATATATTTATATGGAACAAAGTTCGGGACCACGAAAACTTCGACTCATTCGAAATTTCAAGTCAACTGAGTTCGAGACAACGAGAGTTAACTATATTACTGTATACACATTTTTATGCCACTTAAAGAGTAATTTAATGTTAGAATTTTAAAACAACATATGAGAAGGAATCTCTTATAAAATGCTTACAGAAATGAAAATGAAAAAGATGGGTGACTGTATTCTTTGTCTTGCATATAATACCACAACGAACCTAAGGTAACAATATGGAGCTTGATATATGAGAACAAGCAATACTGGTCAATAATTACTCATATTGAGCCATAAAAGGGACTGTTTTTGGACAATATCTTTGTATTGTATGCTAAAACTAACAGAGCACTCATCAAATGTCATATTAAACTTTTTGTTACGATACCTTTCAAAGTTGCATAATACTGGTACCCGTTCTGGAAAGTAAGTTTTGGTAAAGCTTTGTGTTGTACCACTCCAATATTCTCAAAGGCATGGACATCATTTCCTCCAGGAGTTGTTCCTAAAATACCACAAATTTTATATTATCTACAGGCGCTTGATACTTTAGAACTGTCAATAGCATTGTTATCTTTCAGTATACATCCCTCAGTTTTGATTCTTATGGACTAGATTGTCGTTTTCTTCTGTATATCATATTTGTTTTTTGTTCATTATTTTGTACATACATCAGGCCGTTAGTTTTCTTGTTTGAATTGTTTTACATTTGTCATTTTGGGACCTTTTATAGCTGACTATGCGGTATGGGTTTTACTCATTGTTGAAGGCTGTACGGTGACCTATAGTTGTTAATTTCTGTGTCATTTGGTCTCTTGTGGAGAGTACTCTCATTGGTAATCAAACCACATCTTCTTATTTTCATGGATGATTGTACATACAAAGATGTTTGCATATAAAAACATACCACTGTTTCATAGATATTATGTTTGAATTGGTCCATGTGTCAGACCCTGATGCTTATTCTTAATTTACTTTTAAAAATGGTGTGAAAATATAAAGCGGCATATGGATTCCATCGTAAAATACATGCACTAAAGCATTTCAGATACTTTCTTTATTATATAGCTGACAATTCTTTAATTGTACAAAAAGTTTTAACAAATTAAATGCTAAAGGTCACGTCTTCAATTTGTAAAATGACAATAGAATTCAAACAATGATTCAGTTAAATGATTTTCTTTCACTAGGCTTTTTCAAACATTACATCTACAGAAAATCCATGGTAGGTTTATATCAGAGAAAATATGAATGAAACCAGAAAAGTAACAATTGTCAATTTTGACCAATAAAATCTGATACTCACCGATACCCAGTATATACTGTTTAATACCAGTAGAATGTGGCCCTACTCCATATTCCTCTACATCGTGAAATCCATCCCAATTTACATACAAGTCTGTAATGGCGGTCTGTAATATAAGTGTGCTGTCATGAATGCAATTATAAAATACATGTGTGGTGTAATACAAGTGTGCTGTCATGAATGCAAATATAAAATACATGTGTGGTGTAATGCAAGTGTGCTGTCATGAATGTGAATATAAAATACATGTGTGGTGTAATACAAGTGTGATGTCATTAATGTGAATATAAAATACTTGTATGGTGTATACAGATTTAATGAAAAATTCTGGCTAAAGAATTCTTAACAAGACACAACTAAAATGTCTCACCTGCTGCAATATAGGAAGTGTTTTTAAGGGACAATAAACTCTAAATCTGAGGTCAACTTACAGGTCAAATGAAATCTTTAATGTGCACTTGTTCATGTTCAAATGTTTTAGTTAATAAAGTTATCATCGATACCAGGATTAAAATTTTGTGCCCCAGACTCATGTTGCATCTACAAAAGACACTTCAGTGATGCTTGATCATGAATCAAAAAAGTTCAAAGGTAATATCATTAATATACAACATTAAGAAAAGACACCCCTTAACAAAATCTTTAATTGTATTAAAGCCATTCAAAAAGACATTTAAGGTAAAACTTTCTAGTGATGTTGAACAAGGTCTGAACACACAGCTCGTAGTCTGAAAAGCTGTACAAGTGTAAACTCACCAGATAGAGCCTTATGCACTGTTGGGGCAAAAAGCAAAAGTCAAGCAATCATAAAAAACAGTATTGAATTATTTCAGACCTGATAAATTTGACCAGGATTAGTACCAATCCACAATCTGCCTGCTACAGGTGGAGTCAGGTCCACAATCACACCATCGCTACAGGAGCTAATCTCTGGAAGATTCTCTATCCAGGTTTCATGTTGAACTTTTGTAGCAGCAGCATGGACACACACAGTGTAGCGAGTACCATGAACTAACTCGTTGTTTGTAAACTCTACATTGATAAACCCATTTTCTAAAAAGAGATATAAGAAATGCTGTATATTATATCAATTCTTGACTGATGTATATTCTTTTATTATACCTTACAAATAAAATAAACAATTCTGTCCAATAATACATTATGACGACATCACATCAATTTAATTGAGGTAATTTTCCTTTAAATATACAGTGAATGATAAATAACCCTAAACATTAACAATGTCTGATGAATATCCCTATTATTTACTGAAATAACCTTTTGAGCTTCTCAATTTGTACACCAGTTATCTCCCACGAAATGATGTCATGTCCGTTTGTAAACAAAATGACATTCACCAGGTTTGATAGTTCACCTACTGTGTAGGACACAAACTAATTCTCTGACTTTAGTATTTTGACAAACTTTTACTATTATAAAGCATGTTCTTCTTTAACAGGCCTTTCTACTGTTAGTTATAGTAAACAATTGTGGTACTAAGAAGCAGTGAATTTCCAAAATTGTAAACTCTAAAAGATTATTTCCCTCTAAGGCTGCGCAAACAGGATGATAATCATTAGGGTTGAAAATTAACCTTTTTTAAGAGTGCTAATTGTATATTATTGTTAAATGATCAAACATTTAATATACCCATGCTTACACAATTTTGTCAGTAACACAGACAACCAGCTAATCCTAAAATAAATCTTGTAATACTTTCGTTGTATCAAAGCCTGATAATGGTAAATGACACAAAAAAAAAAACTCTTAGTCAAACCATACCAGTACTTATCACCAGCATTATAATGTTTGATATAAAAATGAGAAGATGTGGTATGATTGCCAATAAGACAACTCTCCACAAGAGACCAAATGACACAGAAATTAACAACTATAGGACACTGTTCGGCCTTCAACAATGAGTAAAACCCATATCGCATAGTCAGCTATAAAAGGCCCCGAAATGACAAATGTTAAACAATCCCAACAAGAAAACTAGCGGCCTAATTTATGTACAAAACAATGAACGAAAAATAAATATGTTACACAGCAACAAACGACAACCACTGAATTACAGGCTCCTGACATGGGACAGGCACATACAGAATGTTTGACCAGTGCTTATCAAGTCCCCTTCTAGCATGTTGGAAAAAACTGTTGTTTCTATCATAAGTATACAATCCAATAATCGATTTTATGATTTCCATCATATTGATATTGTAAAATATTCATCTCCTAGAAACCATAAACACAATATGAAACCTTTTTGTATTGGTTCATTGCACCCTCTCAACGAAAGGCTTCATATTGTGTGGCAGGGAGTTTATATGTTACAGAAAACCTGACAAGATCAAAACAAACATTTCAAACTTCATAATCAACCTATTTGGATAATATTCTACCTGTATGACCACATTTTATTCTATCTGGATGGTCACATGGTATCTTCAAATTAAGCTGATTAACTTGGCGATAATATGTTGTAACATCAATATCTATGGCTTCTAATACGGCATAGTCATAATTTTTATGCCGTAAGGTTGGCCACACAGCTGAAATCACATTCTTGTATGCAGTATAGTCTCTATCTGCTTCTGTCCACAAAGCATTTTGTTCAAGAAAAACAGGTCTGCCGATTCCATCTGAAATATATACGTGGTTTAAGATTTCTAGAACAAAAGGTTTATCAACACTCATATTCATATTGGAAAATATTTGTTTTTCTATGAATTAATCATAAAGAAAACCTTCAAAAATTGGACAGACTACAATACCACTTTCCTCCTTTATCAAAATACTTATTCATGACATGAAAGGCTTTAAATTTGGTACTTCAAAACGCTTTTCTAGATTTGCTTTCATCAGAAACTCTGAAAACCAAACGTTTTGAAAGTCAAGGATGTATAAATTCATCAGGAGCTATATGACCAAGTGAAACCTAATGAAATTAGTTATGTTAAGTTGCACCCAAAACCTTTATACAATTGTTACCTATATTTATCTTGCTACTGGTCAATTTGATCTTGAGTGGTTTAATATTGTTAGGTATTGATTACAGAACAGAGTTCCAATGTCCCCACATTGCACATATTTTATCTGTCCAAGGATCAAGGGCAATAACTAAAAGAAAAAACTTTTTTTGTTCTTTAAAACTTTTTATAAATATCTTAGAGAAATGAAGGCTTGAGAGCAAATTAAATGCAATGCAATTTCCGATATAATTATTATTTCCAAGGGACATAACTCTTTAAAAATATTTGATCAGCACAGATTTTTTATCTTGTTCGAGACTTTTTTGACATAAACATAAAAATCTGCCAAGAATTGTACACATGAAAGTACCAACTATGTAATTTTCCATATAATTAATGTTTCCAAGGTGCATAACTCTTTTAAAAAGTAATTGATATCCACTTACTATCGAACTCGCCTAAGACATTGCTGATTTAAAGTTACGATATAAGTTTAATGAAAATCTGTCAAGAATTGTTTACATGAGAGCGCTAACGATGCAATTGTTCATATAATCACTGTTTCTAAGTGGCATAACTCTTTGAAAAATAATTGATCTTGTCAGAGACATTGTATATATAAATCTATAAGTTTTATAAAAATATGGCACCAACAAAACCAGATTGATAGACGCATGGACAGATGGACAGATGGGCTGACCAACTCACAGACGGATGGATGGATGGGTCAAAATCATTATAACCTACAAAGTTCTGTAGGGTATAAATAGTTAACACTTGTTCTGTAGAATGATATCTATCAGATTACATACAACTGCTTACTATTGATATCAGACACCCCTCGGGTATCTATAACAATGTTAGGATGTATTAGAATTGGGTTAATTGTCTGACAATCTTTGCTTACTATTGATATCAGGCGTCCCTCCGGCATCTATGACAATGATAGGATGTATTAGAATTGGGTTAATTGTCTGACAATCTTTGCTTACTATTGATATCAGGCGCCCCTCCGGCATCTATAACAATGTTAGGATGTATTAGAATTGGGTTAATTGTCTGACAATCTTTGCTTACTATTGATATCAGGTGTTCCTCCTGCATCTATAACAATGTTAGGGTGTATTAGAATTGGGTTAAATGTCGGATAATCTTTGCTTACCATTAGCATCAGGTGCTCCAACGGCATCTATAACAATATTAGGTTTTATTAGAATTGGATTAAATGCCTGACAATCTTTGATGTCCGTAGACACTGTTGAGTACTGTTTGGCTTTGTTGTATCCCCTAATAGAAAATCTTTTGCATCGGGAGAAATCCATTGTACCATTCAAAACATATTCAAATGTAATCTGAAATCAAAAATGGCAAATCAAAACTGTTTTAATAAAGTAATGTCTTGGTCCACTATTTCTACATTTTTAAATTATATAATATACAAGATTTTTATTCCATTTGACAAGTGAATTGTCTTGGATAATTTTCTTTCATAGAGGGCTGTATAGTAACCTCTAAATGTCTAACTTTGCCGGTTGTCTTGTTGACATTAGGGACAACACTGGCAACAATGTAAAAGGAAATACAATGATTCCTATTTATACTTAACATGCAACACTAAAACCCTATACTTCCTGTAACCTCTAGCTGTCTATACTTAAGTGTATGTTTGTATTGAGGGGTTGGTGTCTTGTTGACATTTAACCCATCCTTTTTTTATTCATAACAGTGGAGGGCAACAACATTGGCAAAGATTTAATTGAAAATACAACGATACCTCTGTATAAATCTGACACAAGCAAACAACACTCAAACTCAATACTACCTGATGTCCAATGGCCGTAAAATCCAATTTGGTCCACACCATGTATGTCTTTCCCTGTTCAGAATTATCTGTGATAGCAAACTCATACTTATCAACTGCAGCATACTTTTCAACCATGTCCTCAATATCTGGGTCATAAAACTGAGCAAAAGACACCATCAGCTGGAAATATAATGTGAAGGAATATGCAGTTAGAATACAAAAGCTTTAAATGGCTCGCTATATTGCCCATGGTGTAACTATGAATGTGTAGCTTTGAATGACAGCAAGTTCCCGTTAATTAGTTAACACAAAAAAAAAGTAATTACCATCAATAACAAAATTGGTGTTGATAGTATATTTTGGGAATTCACTGTTAAACTAATCCACAAATTGTTGCCGGCTCATTTACATCATTTTTTGAATATTACACATTGAATCATGAAGTATTTAAGAATATTCTGAACACATGTATTTTGATACTGAAGAGATATGTATCTATACCTTAACACATGTATTTTGATACATAAGAGATATGTATTTTGATACTGAAGAGATATGTATTTTGATACTGAAGAGATATGTATTTATACCTTAACACATGTATTTTGATACTGAAGAGATATGAATTTATACCTTAACACATGTATTTTGATACTGAAGAGATATGTATTCATACCTTAACACATGTATTTCTATACTGAAGAGATATGTATTCATACCTTAACACATGTATTTCTATACTGAAGAGATATGTATTCATACCTTAACACATGTATTTCTATACTGAAGAGATATGTATTCATACCTTAACACATGTATTTTGATACTGAAGAGATATGTATTTTGATACTGAAGAGATATGTATTTATACCTTAACACATGTATTTTGATACTGAAGAGATATGAATTTATACCTTAACACATGTATTTTGATACTGAAGAGATATGTATTCATACCTTAACACATGTATTTCTATACTGAAGAGATATGTATTCATACCTTAACACATGTATTTCTATACTGAAGAGATATGTATTCATACCTTAACACATGTATTTCTATACTGAAGAGATATGTATTCATACCTTAACACATGTATTTCTATACTGAAGAGATATGTATTCATACCTTAACACATGTATTTCTATACTGAAGAGATATGTATCTATACCTTAACACATGTATTTTGATACATAAGAGATATGTATTTTGATACTGAAGAGATATGTATTTTGATACTGAAGAGATATGTATTTATACCTTAACACATGTATTTTGATACTGAAGAGATATGAATTTATACCTTAACACATGTATTTTGATACTGAAGAGATATGTATTCATACCTTAACACATGTATTTCTATACTGAAGAGATATGTATTCATACCTTAACACATGTATTTCTATACTGAAGAGATATGTATTCATACCTTAACACATGTATTTCTATACTGAAGAGATATGTATTCATACCTTAACACATGTATTTCTATACTGAAGAGATATGTATTCATACCTTAACACATGTATTTTGATACTGAAGAGATATGTATTTATACCTTAACACATGTATTTTGATACTGAAGAGATATGTATTTATACCTTAACACATGTATTTTGATACTGAAGAGATATGTATTCATACCTTAACACATGTATTTCTATACTGAAGAGATATGTATTTATACATTTACAGTTAAATCTATCATTGAAGAATGACATAGAAGTTATCATAGAATATATGGCCTCTATGAGTTTGTGCTCGACTAATGAGTCAAATAGGATAAAAGAAAAATGGTCAAATATTGATAATATTATATAAAGGGAAAAGGTTGAAAGATTTTTACATCATGTAAACATTGACTGATCTATTTAGATAATCATTCTTTTACATATCGTATTTATGAATATTCCCTAACATTTTGTACATCTTCATTTGTAGATGAGACTAGAGAATGATATGAAAATAAATATATATATATTACCAACAAAAAAATATACGTAGTTAAAAATGGTATACAAGCCATCCAGAATCCATCCTCAATACATACCTTCTCAGCCCCACCTGTTTGTGTGGTATTAAGATGCTCCACAGTTATGTCCCCTGTTATGGGGGAATTTGCCAATACCATGACACCATCGGTATTGATTGGTGAGAAACAGATAGTTTTGGCACACAGTTTTAATACAATTCGATATTTGATACCTGGGTTCAATGTCAGGTCGTCTATACTAATGTCAAATATTGTTGACACATGAAGGAAATCACGGAAAACACTCCATTGATCTGAAAGAAATTAATTTGTCATTCTAAAAATATGCTTGTCTCAGATTGAACTATTAAAAACATAATGAACAAATCTAATTTGACTGCCAGCAAACATCTATAAAAACCAAATAATTAAAAGCAGTCACTAACAATATTGAATGACTTCATTTTGTTCTGTTCTTACATATTACATTCAAACAAAAATAGTCATCCTTCCAAAACTTAATCCCTCAAGAAACTTACTTCCAACACTGGATCTCTTCTCTATGGCAATGTATGCATCAGGTGTGTAGTTCTTTACATTATCTGGAACTGTCCAGTAGGCTTTCAATGAATTAGTAGACATCTGGATGTCGACATCATCTGAACAGTACAATCTGTGGTCCTAAAAGGAGATAAATCAGACATTTTTACATTATCTGGTGCAGTCTGGTAAGCCTCATTAATAGTTTATGGACATCTTTAGGTTGACATAATTTGAACAGTACAATATTTGATTATAAAGGGAAGTAAGTCACTTTTTATATTTGGTTGCTTCAAAATTTCACTTACTGTAGTAGATAATGCTAAAAATAGAAATAGTTTTCTATCTGAAATGTATCCAACGGTGTGTACCTACAAATATCCTTCAGAATAATTATGTGTTATCTTTACCAAACTCTTACAAAATGGAAGTTGTATTACACTACTGGTCAAATTTGCTATTAATTAATTGTAAAAGGATAAAAGCAGTTACCAAACAAAAAGTTACATATGTTTTTCTTCTAAGCATACCACCACACATAACTCAAAGTATCTGAAACAAGAAGTAGGAATCGGACACATCCAAAAACCGCTAACACTTTGTAATTCATTACTGTAAACCTGCAGACCAGTTATGAAATCATTCTGTTCATTCAGTAATTCTGGAGAAATGTGTGCAAAAAATGTTGCCATAAGTTTAATCAACATATTGAAAAATTCAAAGTATCAACAAAACAGGAAGTTGTTGTTGAACAGATTTGAAAAGTGCTCTCAATTTACAACTCATCACTGTCAGGGTGCGGACCAAATAAAATTATGTAGTCATTCTGTTCGGTAGTATGGAGTAAAGCTTGATAAAAATATTAAGTGCATTTAATATATTGAAAAATTTAAAGTATTGGCAAATTGGAAGTAAATGTCTGACAGATCCAGAAAGTGCTGAAATATAACAACTCATCACACAACACTGTCCAGCTGCTGACCAAATATGAACTTGGGGAGGTAAAGATTGAAGAACACTGACTTCAGGAGAAAGAAACAACTTAAGAACACTGACTTCTGGAGAAAGGAAAGATTTACGAACACTGACTTGGAGAGAAAGGAAAGATTGTAGAACACTGACTTTGGAAGGAACTAAAAAAAAATCCTACAAACCTCCATATGATGTTCTAACATTTTATCTGAAAAAGATAAAATCAATATATTACAGTTAATTTCTACTATTTTATCTATCACAAATAAAGATAAAGAGATGTGGTATGATTTTTCATGAGACAACTATCCACCAAAATCCAAAAGACAAGGATCTTGACAACCACAGGTCAATGTACGGTGTCAAAGATGCAGAAATTTTGTTTCTTCCAATATTTCAGATAACAGAATAATGGTATTTCATTGTTCACCTACGTCTTGAATAATGTAAACCATTCAACTTTTTTTAGTAAATCTTTTTTTTCTCTCGCTCTCTATCATTTTTTTGGGTGATTTTCTAAATTTGTTGAAGTACTCATAAAACAGAAGATGCAAATTTGAGATATTCATGATAATTTACATTCTCTTTATTCTCTACTATGAAACTTAGCTATCTATAATACCTACAAATATAAATACTGTTTTATTGATGTAAATTCCATTTTCTTGAAATTATGAACTGTCATTTGCTAATGCATTATATTTTTGTATTGAAATTAACTTACCAGTCATGTTACAAGGTTCTCCATCATAAATTAAAACTCCTGACAGGACACCATTTTCTGTTACTATGGTAACACCGTCAGACGATATAGCTGTATTCCCTGCTGTAGTTACAGCTTTTACAGTAAAATAGTATTTCTAAAAATGTAAAATTTGATCAGCATAAAAAAACACTGTACAGAATGTCATCCTCTTATCCTTGATTGTTTGCCTTTTTGTTGTCTTAGTTTATTCCCATGGGAACTGTTGGCTTCCATCTGTCTTTTGTGATGGGTTCAACTAGTGGAAAAGGAACTGCTTACCCTTCCAGAACAGTTGAACCCCAGTTTATTGTGGGGTTCATATTGATCAATCTTTAGTTCAGATAACTTTTTGCAGAGTTTCATTTGTCTGTTTTCCTTTTTTTAGTTTGAGCACAGTCTTGTCTGAATTCCTTTTTTCTTTCGACCAGTGTTTGTCTGTTTTTCTTTTTTCTTTTGACCAGTGTTTGTCTGTGGTTTTTTTTCAAAATTTGGCTAGGGTCATGTCTCTCTTTTCTCTAACTTGCACCCTTGATATCTTTTACAATTTTTTTCTTCATAGAAACAATAGTAGCACAGTTATACTAATACTGACTAAAATACCTGATAAGGTGTCAGAGACAGTCCTGTTTCCTGGTGAGCTAGACTGGTACCCACATCCTTCATTGATACAACATCACTTCCTCCCATAGTAGTACCAATACTTATACTGTAGGTTACATCTAAATGTGGATGGGCAAATCCTGACCAACGGGCAGCCATACTGCTGGTGGATGTCTGAAAGTCTAAGTCTTGTATATCCTAGAATAAAAGTATATCAAAAGATTAAAGAGTTTCTTGATTTCATCAGGTATAGATTAACTAATTGAACAAGGGTCTTGGAGAATGCTACCTTGACTTTCACATGAGTCTGTAGCAATTAGAATAAGGGTCTAGGAGAATGCTACCTTGACTTTCACATGAGTCTGTATCAATCAGAACAAGGGTCTAGGCGAATGCTACCTTGACTTTCACATGAGTCTGTATCAATCAGAACAAAGGTCTAGGCGAATGCTACCTTGACTTTCACATGAGTCTGTATCAATCAGAACAAGGGTCTAGGAGAATGCTACCTTGACTTTCACATGAGTCTGTATCAACCAGAACAAGGGTCTAGGAGAATGCTACCTTGACTTTCACACAATTCTGTATCAAACAGAACAAGGGTCTAGGAGAATGCTACCTTGACTTTCACATGAGTCTGTATCAATCAGAACAAGGGTCTAGGCGAATGCTACCTTGACTTTCACATGAGTTTGTATCAATCAGAACAAAGGTCTAGGAGAATGCAACCTTGTATTTCACATGAGTCTGTATCAATCAGAACAAGGGTCTAGGAAAATGCTACCTTGACTTTCACATGAGTCTGTATCAATTAGAAGAAGGGTCTATGAGAATGCTACCTTGACTTTCACATGAGTCTGTATTATTCAGAACAAGGGGTATAGGAGAATGCTACCTTGACTTTCACATGAGTCTGTATCAAGGGTCTAGGAGAAAGCTACCCTGACTTTCACACGAGTCTGTATCATTCAGAATAAGGGTCTAGGAGAATGCTACCTTGACTTTCACACGAGTCTGTATCAATCAGAACAAGGGTCTAGGAGAATGCTACCTTGACTTTCACACAAGTCTGTATCAATAAGAACAAGGGTCTAGGAGAATGCAACCTTGTATTTCACATGAGTCTATATCAATTAGAAGAAGGGTCTATGAGAATGCTACCTTGACTTTCACATGAGTCTGTATCAATCAGAACGAGGGTCTAGGAGAATGCTACCTTGACTTTCACATGAGTCTGTATCAATCAGAACAAGGGTCTAGGAGAATGCTACCTTGACTTTCACATGAGTCTGTATCAATTAGAAGAAGGGTCTATGAGAATGCTACCTTGACTTTCACATGAGTCTATATCAATCAGAACAAGGGGTATAGGAGAATGCTACCTTGACTTTCACATGAGTCTGTATCAAGGGTCTAGGAGAATGCTACCTTGACTTTCACATGAGTCTGTATCATTCAGAATAAGGGTCTAGGAGAATGCTACCTTGACTTTCACACTAGTCTGTATCAATCAGAACAAGGGTCTAGGAGAATGCTACCTTGACTTTCACACAAGTCTGTATCAATCAGAACAAGGGTCTAGGAGAATGCTACCTTGACTTTCACATGAGTCTGTATCAATTAGAAGAAGGGTCTATGAGAATGCTACCTTGACTTTCACATGAGTCTGTATCAATCAGAACAAGGGTCTAGGAGAATGCTACCTTGACTTTCACACAAGTCTGTATCAATAAGAACAAGGGTCTAGGAGAATGCAACCTTGTATTTCACATGAGTCTATATCAATTAGAAGAAGGGTCTATGAGAATGCTACCTTGACTTTCACATGAGTCTGTATCAATCAGAACGAGGGTCTAGGAGAATGCTACCTTGACTTTCACATGAGTATGTATCAATCAGAACAAGGGTCTAGGAGAATGCTACCTTGACTTTCACATGAGTCTGTATCAATCAGAACAAAGGTCTAGGCGAATGCTACCTTGACTTTCACATGAGTCTGTATCAATCAGAACAAGGGTCTAGGAGAATGCTACCTTGACCTTCACATGAGTCTGTATCAACCAGAACAAGGGTCTAGGAGAATGCTACCTTGACTTTCACACGAGTCTGTATCAATCAGAACAAGGGTCTAGGAGAATGCTACCTTGACTTTCACATGAGTTTGTATCAATCAGAACAAAGGTCTAGGAGAATGCAACCTTGTATTTGACATGAGTCTGTATCCATCAGAACAAGGGTCTAGGAGAATGCTACCTTGACTTTCACATGAGTCTGTATCAATTAGAAGAAGGGTCTATGAGAATGCTACCTTGACTTTCACATGAGTCTATATCAATCAGAACAAGGAGTATAGGAGAATGCTACCTTGACTTTCACATGAGTCTGTATCAAGGGTCTAGGAGAATGCTACCTTGACTTTCACATGAGTCTGTATCATTCAGAATAAGGGTCTAGGAGAATGCTACCTTGACTTTCACACTAGTCTGTATCAATCAGAACAAGGGTCTAGGAGAATGCTACCTTGACTTTCACACAAGTCTGTATCAATCAGAACAAGGGTCTAGGAGAATGCTACCTTGACTTTCACATGAGTCTGTATCAATTAGAAGAAGGGTCTATGAGAATGCTACCTTGACTTTCACATGAGTCTGTATCAATCAGAACAAGGGTATAGGAGAATGCTATCTTGACTTCCACATGAGTCTGTATCAAGGGTCTAGGAGAATGCTACCTTGACTTTCACACGAGTCTGTATCAATCAGAATAAGGGTCTAGGAGAATGCTACCTTGACTTTCACATGAGTCTGTATCAAGGGTCTAGGAGAATTCTACCTTGACTTTCACACGAGTCTGTATCAATCAGAACAAGGTTCGAGGAGAATGCTACCTTGACTTTCACACGAGTCTGTAGCAATTAGAATAAGGGTCTAGGAGAATGCTACCTTGACTTTCACATGAGTCTGTATCAATCAGAACAAGGGTCTAGGCGAATGCTACCTTGACTTTCACATGAGTCTGTATCAATCAGAACAAAGGTCTAGGCGAATGCTACCTTGACTTTCACATGAGTCTGTATCAATCAGAACAAGGGTCTAGGAGAATGCTACCTTGACTTTCACATGAGTCTGTATCAACCAGAACAAGGGTCTAGGAGAATGCTACCTTGACTTTCACACAATTCTGTATCAAACAGAACAAGGGTCTAGGAGAATGCTACCTTGACTTTCACATGAGTCTGTATCAATCAGAACAAGGGTCTAGGCGAATGCTACCTTGACTTTCACATGAGTTTGTATCAATCAGAACAAAGGTCTAGGAGAATGCAACCTTGTATTTCACATGAGTCTGTATCAATCAGAACAAGGGTCTAGGAAAATGCTACCTTGACTTTCACATGAGTCTGTATCAATTAGAAGAAGGGTCTATGAGAATGCTACCTTGACTTTCACATGAGTCTGTATTATTCAGAACAAGGGGTATAGGAGAATGCTACCTTGACTTTCACATGAGTCTGTATCAAGGGTCTAGGAGAAAGCTACCCTGACTTTCACACGAGTCTGTATCATTCAGAATAAGGGTCTAGGAGAATGCTACCTTGACTTTCACACGAGTCTGTATCAATCAGAACAAGGGTCTAGGAGAATGCTACCTTGACTTTCACACAAGTCTGTATCAATAAGAACAAGGGTCTAGGAGAATGCAACCTTGTATTTCACATGAGTCTATATCAATTAGAAGAAGGGTCTATGAGAATGCTACCTTGACTTTCACATGAGTCTGTATCAATCAGAACGAGGGTCTAGGAGAATGCTACCTTGACTTTCACATGAGTCTGTATCAATCAGAACAAGGGTCTAGGAGAATGCTACCTTGACTTTCACATGAGTCTGTATCAATTAGAAGAAGGGTCTATGAGAATGCTACCTTGACTTTCACATGAGTCTATATCAATCAGAACAAGGGGTATAGGAGAATGCTACCTTGACTTTCACATGAGTCTGTATCAAGGGTCTAGGAGAATGCTACCTTGACTTTCACATGAGTCTGTATCATTCAGAATAAGGGTCTAGGAGAATGCTACCTTGACTTTCACACTAGTCTGTATCAATCAGAACAAGGGTCTAGGAGAATGCTACCTTGACTTTCACACAAGTCTGTATCAATCAGAACAAGGGTCTAGGAGAATGCTACCTTGACTTTCACATGAGTCTGTATCAATTAGAAGAAGGGTCTATGAGAATGCTACCTTGACTTTCACATGAGTCTGTATCAATCAGAACAAGGGTCTAGGAGAATGCTACCTTGACTTTCACACAAGTCTGTATCAATAAGAACAAGGGTCTAGGAGAATGCAACCTTGTATTTCACATGAGTCTATATCAATTAGAAGAAGGGTCTATGAGAATGCTACCTTGACTTTCACATGAGTCTGTATCAATCAGAACGAGGGTCTAGGAGAATGCTACCTTGACTTTCACATGAGTATGTATCAATCAGAACAAGGGTCTAGGAGAATGCTACCTTGACTTTCACATGAGTCTGTATCAATCAGAACAAAGGTCTAGGCGAATGCTACCTTGACTTTCACATGAGTCTGTATCAATCAGAACAAGGGTCTAGGAGAATGCTACCTTGACCTTCACATGAGTCTGTATCAACCAGAACAAGGGTCTAGGAGAATGCTACCTTGACTTTCACACGAGTCTGTATCAATCAGAACAAGGGTCTAGGAGAATGCTACCTTGACTTTCACATGAGTTTGTATCAATCAGAACAAAGGTCTAGGAGAATGCAACCTTGTATTTGACATGAGTCTGTATCCATCAGAACAAGGGTCTAGGAGAATGCTACCTTGACTTTCACATGAGTCTGTATCAATTAGATTAAGGGTCTATGAGAATGCTACCTTGACTTTCACATGAGTCTATATCAATCAGAACAAGGAGTATAGGAGAATGCTACCTTGACTTTCACATGAGTCTGTATCAAGGGTCTAGGAGAATGCTACCTTGACTTTCACATGAGTCTGTATCATTCAGAATAAGGGTCTAGGAGAATGCTACCTTGACTTTCACACTAGTCTGTATCAATCAGAACAAGGGTCTAGGAGAATGCTACCTTGACTTTCACACAAGTCTGTATCAATCAGAACAAGGGTCTAGGAGAATGCTACCTTGACTTTCACATGAGTCTGTATCAATTAGAAGAAGGGTCTATGAGAATGCTACCTTGACTTTCACATGAGTCTGTATCAATCAGAACAAGGGTATAGGAGAATGCTACCTTGACTTCCACATGAGTCTGTATCAAGGGTCTAGGAGAATGCTACCTTGACTTTCACACGAGTCTGTATCAATCAGAATAAGGGTCTAGGAGAATGCTACCTTGACTTTCACATGAGTCTGTATCAAGGGTCTAGGAGAATTCTACCTTGACTTTCACACGAGTCTGTATCAATCAGAACAAGGTTCGAGGAGAATGCTACCTTGACTTTCACACGAGTCTGTATCAATCAGAACAAGGGTCTAGGCGAATGCTACCTTGACTTTCACATGAGTCTGTATCAATCAGAACAAGGGTCTAGGAGAATGCTACCTTGACTTTCACATGAGTCTGTATCAATCAGAACAAAGGTCTAGGAGAATGCTACCTTGACTTTCACATGAGTCTGTATCAATCAGAACAAGGGTCTAGGAGAATGCTACCTTGACTTTCACATGAGTCTGTATCAATCAGAACAAGGGTCTAGGAGAATGCTACCTTGACTTTCACATGAGTCTGTATCAATCAGTTGGAAACCAAGTATAATGTGTCCTTGTATGAAGTACAATGCAGACAATTCACCACCAAGAGACAATACTGATTTCACATTACTTACTAAGTCTCTCAAAGACAGATTACAAACCATATGAACTGCACAGAGGTTATATCTATTCCAGAATACTGGTAACTGTACTTAATTTTGAAAGACTAATAATTAAATAAAAGAATAATCAAAACCATTTTTGGTCCAAATGGGATAGTAGTGTCAAAGAGTTTACCTAAGAATGATAAAACATGTTTACATACCTTTAAGGGGATGTCTGTTGAAAAATCCTGAAAAAAATAATCAAAAATTAAATGCATTGGAGTAAACTCAAAAAAAAAATTATCAATAAAATGTTTTGTTCTATTGGTCTTTATAACAAAGAAAATAAATATAAGTTTTTAATACCTTTATTTGAAAAAAATAAGTGCTATGAGAAACAAATTGGGACTTGGGACAGGTACATAGAAATGTGGGTGGGTTAAACTATTGGAATGTTTGTGAGGCCACCCAAACCTGCATGAATATGCCACAAGGTCAATGGTATGAAAAAGTGAACCAATTGAAAGGGATTAATTTAACAATACTAAATATAAGTATACCTGAGTATCAATATCTAAAACAACTCCCTCTGCTGGTAACTGTACATCATGTATGTAGGGACCAGATGACTGGATGACTGTTTGTCCTGCTGTGTTGGTAACCTTGAGTGACACATAGTATGTGTGATGTCCATGTAGATACCAGTCCAGGTCGGTTACCTTTACAGCTGTACAAGATGGAGGCTGTGTCAATGTACAGGTGCCACCTGACTGTAATGGTTGAAAACCTTGTACATCGGTTCCGTATGCACTGTGACCTGTATGAAGTTTAAAACAGTTCCATGACTGTTACAGAACATGATATTTTTAATCTGGATTTAAGCCAGAAATTTCAAATTGTGTTATAATCAATCATGATAGTTACATGTGAGTTGAATTATCTCATAGAATAAACCATTTATTTCCACAATTGTGATTGGTAGCTAATATAACAGTATTGAAGTCTCCACAATTGAAAGCAATAGCTATTTAACAGTGAACAAATGAATGCTTTCTACTGTATATTGTAAAATTCACCTTTTTTCTTCTGAGGCCAAACAACAACAAAAATTGATTTTTTTGTTTATATCAACAGTGTTTAGTTACAGATAAAGCCGGGTTTTCTCTTTCAATGACCCAGTTTTCACATACGACCTGCGAAATTTGGTAGAAGGCATGGGATATTCATACCATCCTGATTCAACAAGTTTTCCTTTGGTGATATTAAATACTTGCAAAAACTTATTAGAAAGCACTAGCATCCCATAAAGAAATATGTCCATCAAAATCCAAACAAGATTTTATCTTTCTGAAACACAAAATGCATTTTACTTTTATACATCTAGGAAGGAAGGTAGGCCTTCAAACTTTTCCAACTGCACAGGTTTGTCTGTACTCTTTTTAGGTGTATACCCAGCAATTTTTTTGTTCATTCGTTAAAATGAACCTTAATAATAGCCAGCTCATGGTCTTGACATACCAAAGATTCAGATTAAGTAAAGATTTTGTTTAACAACAAAATATAACTATGATGCAATGACAGAAATATAACCTACACTTTTTGCAGACAAAATAATTAAGGACATACCGACTGCAAACTGATAGTCCAGTGTAAACAATTCTTCACTATCAGACACAGAAGCACCAGGCCATGTGGTGACCAGATACTCCCCTGACAACTGTACTGTAAATATACTACTACCTCCAACAATCTCTGGTGGTGTAGTGTCCATGAAACATGGACCTAAGGTCTAAAATGTAAAGTTACAATTTTCAGCTATCTTACTTTAACAATATATGTCAGTCTGTATGACATTAATTAACTAAAAGGACTTTTGCTTAATTGATCCTTGGTAATGGTGTCTTAGTGGTTCAATGGTCCATTTAAATGGTTTATTTCTACATAGTGGTGCAATAGTCATAGTCTAGGTGACTGGTCCATTTTAGTTGGTTTTGCACTGCCCATAAAGGTCTCCATAATTAGCCCATTAATCTATTTAGTTGTGCTTTGGCAGTGGTCATTTTTTCCTCTACAAATCACTATTACAATTATGGTATGCAGCAGCTTTTGGAGTCTTGCTCTTATTACATGAACACTTAACTTATCATCATATCTAAAGTAAACATAGATACAGAGCAAGCTATATTACATACAGAAGATGAATTTTGGGTTGCTGCCTCATTGTCAATTATTAATAAAGAACATGTACAAATTGTTATTTAACAGACAACCATGCATTGATATGAATATTCAATAACCTAATGATATAATCAGGAATATAATATTGTGCATTATCATTAAATGACTCAAAAATACACACTTAAAGTAACTTTGTAAAAGTAGACTTTGACCTTGTGAATAATCTAATTTCAAGAACTAAACATAATACAAGCTAATAATATTGTGTGTTCACTATGCTTACTGTTAGTCCTTCTACATTGGATTTACTGATAGTTTTGATAATGATATAAAACTGTGTTCCATCTGGTATGTTGGTATGCATTATTCTTGCATGAGAATGTTGTTTTGTTGATTGGAACGCCATGATGTCAGGTGCTGAACTTCCTGCTGTTGACGAAAATCCAACTTCATAATCAAATATTTTGGCTGGTATATCATAAGGTTCCCATGACATCTCTAGCTATAATTTTAAAACAGAAGTATCTACATCATCCTGAGATAAATAATATGAATAAAGGACAATATCATCACCTAACACCTTGGCTAGAATATATAGATAGATTCTACCACTACAAACATTGTGATGTGTGATGCAATATTTCTCGACTTTCGACAGTTAAAATTCAAAATATCTTAAAATCATACTTTTGAAAGTGGAAAAATAATATATTGCACAAGATAAGAAGGTAGTTTCTCTAATGATTTTTGGACGATATGTAGACAAACTTAAACTTTATTTTTCAATGATCGGCAAAAAGATGCGCTCTTTCTATGTGATGTCATCAGGCATGGTCGCCTTTTTTAGTGACGTCACAATAGGAATTCACAGGAAAAGAAGAACATTTGACGTCATAACTGAATTTTGACAAATCAAGGGAGATCAATCAAACTACACATTGATATTAAAAAAATAATCAACCGGTTTGGGAAAGTTTAAATCAGCTAAGAATTAGAGAAATATGTATAAAGGTTCTTAAATTCACAATGTCACGCTATGTTTGCATGAGGCTTCTGCATTCCCTCATCTTTTATCTCTTGGTCTGTAATTATCAATAATAGATTTACCAGTTTAGGAACATAGCTATATTTCTCTTACTTTTACAATAGAAAATTGTCGAAACAATATGTCAAGCTCTAAATATAACATGTATAACCAAGAGTGTAGACAATTAGTGAACATTTAATAGAGACTATTAAGGAGCTACTGGAAGTGTTTAACAACCATGACTGGCTGTTCACCCCCCGCACGGTCAGCTCAGTGCCCGAAGGCGTTTTGGTGAGCATTTAAATATTTTTGCAGTCGGACAGGAACAGTTGGAATTCGCCATTTTGGTAGGCTGCGATCTTGGATTTGGTGAGTTGTTTTGGTTTTGTTTGTTGACTATTTTGTTGTTTACTTCACAACGGCTGCTTTCAGGGCCAGGTTGGTCAGCTTGGGAGCCCGCTAACCACGATGATGAAGTACTGGTCGATGAGTCTCGGACATAGTAATAACGATGACAGGAAGCATTATCAGGACCAAAGTCGTGAGACAGTGAAATGGTGGTCCATCATCTAACACCTAGGATACAGCCCTCGGACGTCACTCAGCATACCACTCCCCCATCCATAATGGGTTTTGGAGTGTATGTTGACGCGGGAATTAGCTCTACACGGATTATAGCCTAACATAGTCTGTACAGCGTTGGATTGGTTTCTGTCATCGAAAGTAGTAAGTCGTTGATCTATCTAACAGTAAACCCTCATCGAAGACAAGAAATGATTGTAACAGGATGCTGTTACGAAGTCTCCCGAATTCGTAATTCCCAGGGTCGCCCGACATTTGGCAAAGTCCAGTGAAAATTGGTTTGGTCCAGTAAAATTATATGCATAAGTGATGCCTAAGGACTAACCTTGTATATTATTCAAATCATCTTGGCATGACAAACCAGAATATATATGGTTTAGGGGTGGGGATCTCGACAATTAACAAAATACAAGAACATTGGGGAGGGGGGAACCCCTGGGGACTGACCCTATACGTCATTCAAATGTTTGAGACATGGCAAACAGGAATATATACAGTTTATGGGTGGGGATCTCAACCATTTACAAGATATTAGAACATTGGGGGTGGGGGGGAACCCCTGGGGACTGACCGTATACGTCATTCAAATGTTGGAGACATGACGAACAGGAATATATATGGTTAGGGGTGGGGATCTCGACCATTTACAAGATATTAGAACTTTCTCAAATGGCAGGGGGTCAGGATGACCCCTGGGGACTAACCCTGTATATCATTCAAACCATCATCGCATGACAAACCAGAATATATATGGTTTCGGAGTGGGGATCTCGACCATTTACAAGATATCAGAACTTTCTCAATTGGCAGGGGGTCGGGATGACCCCTGGGGACTAACCCTGTATATCATTCAAACCATCTTAGCATGACAAACCAGAATATATATGGTTTAGGGGTGGGGATCTCGACCACTTACAAGGTATTAGAACTTTCTTAAATGGCAGGGGGTGGGGGTGACCCCTGGGGACTAACCCTGTATTCCATTTGATTTGCTTTATCATGACAAACCAGAATTTATATGATTTAGGGGTGGGGATCTCGACCATTTACAAGATATTAGAACTTTCTCAAATGGCAGGGGGTTGGGATGACCCCTGGGAACTAACCCTGTATATCATTCAAACCATCTTAACATGACAAACCAGAATATATATGGTTTAGGGGTGGGGATCTTGACCACTTACAAGGTATTAGAACTTTCTTAAATGGCAGGGGGTGGGGGTGATCCCTAGGGACTAACCCTGTATTTCATTTGATTTGCTTTATCTAGACAAACCAGAATATATATGGTTTAGGGGTGGGGATCTCAACCATTTACAAGATTTTAGAACTTTCTCAAATGGTAGGGGTCGGGATGACCCCTGGGGACTAACCCTGTATATCATTCAAACCATCTTATCATGACAAACCAAAATATATATGGTTTAGGGGGGGGGGATCTCGACCATTTACAAGATATTAGAACTTTCTCAAATGGTAGGGGGTCGGGATGACCCCTGGGGACTAACCCTGTATATCATTAAAACCATCTTATCATGACAAATCAGAATATATATGGTTTAGGGGTGGGGATCTCAACCATTTACAAGATATTAAAACTTTCTCAAATGGTAGGGGGTCGGGATGACCCCCGGGGACTAACCCTGTATATCATTCAAACCATCTTAGCATGACAAACCAGAATATATATGGTTTAGGGATGGGGATCTTGACCACTTACAAGGTATTAGAACTTTCTTAAATGGCAGGGGGTGGGGGTGATCCCTGGGGACTAACCCTGTATTTCATTTGATTTGCTTTATCTAGACAAACCAGAATATATATGGTTTAGGGGTGGGGATCTCGACCATTTACAAGATTTTAGAACTTTCTCAAATGGCAGGGGGTGGGGGTGACCCCTGGGGACTAACCCAGTATTTCATTTAATGGGCTTTATCATTTAGAACATTTTCAATTAAAAAGATTGTGTCTATCACAAACGGTTTTCAATCTATAATCGTTTGAAAATTTAAAAAAATAAAATCCCATAGGGTTCTATAGTAAAACGCTCTTTTCTTTTTGCCCCTCAAAGTACCCCTTTATAAACCCCATTGCACGAACAAAACCCTGATTGCACCACTAGACATGTTAGTCTAACATACTGTGAAACCCTAAGTTAATCTGACAAGCAGTTTTGGAGAACGGGTGCGGACAAGTTCAAATTTAAAGGCGGCGGAAGAGGAAGAGGAAGAAGAAGAAGAATAATAATATTAATAAGAACTGAGCAAAAAAAATAAGTCTTCCCAAACTTTGTTTGGGAGACTTATTAAAGGAGAGCTGACCCAGCACATGCGTTCAGTTATAAGGACTGAGACGTGACTGATGGCATAGTTTAAGGAGGCTCAGGTGTCTTCCTCCATCTTGGATTTCAAAGTAGCAGATACCGTTGGTCTAGATATTTCATGAAATGTGCAAATTTTGAAAGTAGTATGTAACTTATGTAAAAGACTTTTGATGTATATATAGAAAACTGTGTGTTTTATCATAATTACGGCTGTAATTACTCAAAAACACCTTATTTGTGTTTGATTAGATTTTTTTCAACTTTGACAAATAAGGGGAGATAACTCAGATAAAGTAATTTTTATAATAGAAAGTGTTGTGAATTTACCTATTTTGATATGTAGCAAGAAAACAAATTCGGTGACCCCATTTTTTCTTTTTCTTATCTAAAAGCATCTTATAAGAGCTATCTTCTCACATTTTATCTTAAAGTTCTATCAAGTAGTTTTCTTTTTATCACACAAAATTTGATTTTTCGTGCATAATCTATACAAAATCTGACAATTTTGCACAACCTCTATCGTGAAAAAAAGTTCAGTGACCCATACTTTTTATTATAGTTTTGAAAAAAGCATGATAAAAACTTCTTTTTGACAAATTTTCAAAAAATTCTATCAATTTTGATTAAGATGCCCCAGCCACCTTAAAGATCATGAGCCAAATAATTCAAATAAACAAAAAAAATCACATTTAACTAAAGACAACCACTGATAAGGTTTCAATGGTCTCCTAAGAATGCTAAATTAATCTTAAATTTTGTTTATTAATAAAGTCTTTCATTAATATTGATGAATAGGAGTTTCTTTCGAAAACATCGCCATTTATTTTGACTAAATTGCGATAGCAAGTACTGACTTTACAAACTTACCAATGATGATTTAAATAAAGTTAATCCTATGACACTAGGTGATGAACTGGAATTTCTGCAGAAAATATTCCCATCTACTTCAACAATACTTCCATTGTCAGTTTTTGTCAAAGGAAATAGATTTATACTATTCAAAGCTGTGGCTTTAGTTCTATAATGAAAAAATATATAGGTTTCAAAATCTTTTATCAATATTTTATCACAGTAACAATAATGAAAGGGATAAATGTACAAGCTAGGGCCAATTTAAATTATATGTAGAATCTAAAATGAAATTTATCCGAAAGTCTTGACACTAACATGACCTAGTTTCTTGAGGTACAATGTGTATACTTACATGCAGTCTGTGATAGGATTAGGGATCAGTCTCCTAACTCGATCTAGTTCCTGGATGAGTAATATGTATACTTACATACAGTCAGGTATCAGTCTCCTGACTCGACCTGGTTCCAGAATGAATAATATGTATACTTACAAAGTCAGCAGAAGGATGAGGTATAAATTTCCTGACTCCACCTGGTTCCAGAATGAACAATATGTATACTTACATAGTCAGCAGAAGGACGAGGTATAAATTTCCTGACTCCACCTGGTTCCAGGATGTACAATGTGTATACTTACATACAGTCAGCGGTAGGATTAGGTATCAGTCTCCTGACGCGATCTGGTCCCAGGATATAGTAGTCCACATTGTCTGGGTCTTTGACAAGACCGCCAGTGATGAGAGAATCTTTAACAACCACCTCCTTAACTCCTGGTACAGAACTGTCTATAGTAACGCCATCAGAACACACTGGTTCGGAAGGGTCCAGGGCCCTGTTATAAGCAACCACAGTGAAATAATAGGTTCCATCTCCACTGACTGTGTGACTACCAAAACTATTGTATGTTTCTACAATCTGAAACAGAAATATTGGGACATGAGCGGAACCACTCAACTACACACTATCTGATACAGAAATATTTCAAGGTAAATGTGATTGGATAAAACAGGTTTTAGTGCAATAAACTTGATTTTAGAGAAGAAAAAAAATCAGTTTTTTTACTCCAAACCTCACAATTTTATGACAGTCTTTCAATTTTTCCTTAAAGTTATAATAACTAATATTTGTAATACAGATTATTTATATCCTGTTGAGAGAGACAGAGTTATTGTAACTGATGTTTTCGACCTTAGCAAATCACAAAAAAATTAAAAATAACTTACATTTGGATTTGAACCATTAAGAACAAAATCAGTCTTATCAGCACATGTTGTATTTACTATATACTGGTAGAAAAACACCCCACTTTCTCTGTCAAAGAACTGGTCCCAGTAGGCATTTAGGTCCATTCCTTGTTGGTAGTCTATTTCTGGGTTTCCTTGTTGTCCATCATGGACAGCACCTGAATGTGGTGGACTGATGTCTACTGTTATCTAAAATAAAATATTTAGGAGATTTTACTAATTATACATCAGATACCAAACAAAATAAGTATTATAATTTTTTTATGATTTTTTTAAGGAATTGTTTTAAAGCAAAACATATATGTACTGTGGATTCATTTATTTTCGTGAGTTGAGGAAAATTGTATATTCATAGATACTTGATTTCAAAAGTTTACTAACAAACCTATAAAGAATGTGTACTTTGTTGAACATTTACATTCATGGTTCACCAATACCCATGAAATCCAGGAGAATCATGCATTTGAGAAATGGAAATGAAAATGAATCCACATTAATTGGTTTTATTTTAATTCTTATTTTCATGAAATTTTGTATGCATTTATAACTTGTATTATAAATTGCACTTGAATACCAAGAACATGATATATATATATATATGCGTTATATTTCTAAATATACAATCAATTAATTTTTTTCAAGACAGATCTATAATAGTATAAAAATACATGTGAAATCATTCTGTTAAGTTTCAAAGAAAAGTATTGAAACCTGTTTTTGCCGGAAAAAATATAAATTAAGTTCTGATTAATGTCATGCTTTTTCTCAAAGATATCTAAAACTTTAAGGATTTACACAGCAAAATTAATCAGGTGATCCCTAATATTTTCATATCATTACAATAAAAATGTTCTTTACAAAAATAAAGCTTAAGATAATTTATCTGCTGTTGAAAAAAAAAAGTGAAGTGACACACTAATATCAGCCACTGGGGACATCAATATCTCAATTTAACTTCTTAGTGAAAGGAAGCATTTTTATATCAATCAGTAGACAGATTCCAATTACCTATGAAAACTTATACTGGTAAAAACAGCATAGCATATTATTGTTTCAATGAGAATGATTTGTCATAAACAACAATTTCGACATCTAAATATAATTGAGAATGGAAACAGGGACTGCGTCAAAGAGACAACAACCTGACCAAAGAGCAGAAAACAGCTCAAGGCAACCAATGGGTCTTCAACACAGCGAGAAAATCCACATATTTTATAACAAATTTATTTTGCCTGATGCTCATATTCTTGGGTACAAATTTTCATAATCTTTACATATCTTGTGATCATGTTTGTTTTTTGTTTTGTGCTTTCTGAAGCTATTTGATATGCACCACTGTTAAAATGCTAAGATACGAACCTTTCTGGTCAGGACAGTGGTTAAATTGGCGATACTTGTGACAGATATCTCTATAAAATAATCATATTCATGCGTCCCTTTATCTCTATTAACTATCAATCCTCCATCTTGTTTTATTTCAGGTTTAATTTGGAAATGACGATGGAAACATCCCTGGAATGGTGTGCAGTAGCAGTTAGCTCCCCTTGCATAATCACTGTATTTATCCTCACAATGTGTCAAATTCTGAAATTACAAAGAGCATCCTTACTATATATGGTTTCAATCAACAACCTAAAATAATCTCTTAACCACCATTATCAGAAACGTACCAGTAACTGGAATGCAAACACTTTCTATATTCACAATGTGTCAAACTACTGAAATTTAAAAAAAACATTTATAACTTACCAGAAAAACTATTCTACATGCAAAATTTTGTCACTCAGTATCATGAGTATGGTGTACATCTTGTTTCAGTGTAATAACTATTGTATAGTAAACATGGTATGTCATACTGGATATTTAAAAGGTTTTCAAAGTGATTTCTGATCCAACTTACTGAGTAAAACCTTCCACAAACACTAATTAATGTTTACAAAACCTTTTAGTTGTTTCTGATTTTTAAATATTTTTAGGGAAATATTTAACTAACAGCTGTGGCAATCTTAGCAGAGCTTCCTGTAGTAGCCAGCACAATTTTTACCCTGCTTTCCATTAATAACGTGCCATCTTTATACATCCTTTCTTTACCTGGACTGTTTAGTATTTGTTTATTTTGTGTTTTACTTTTCATACATATGGTCTTGGTAGGTAAAAGGAAAGGTTTCTAAGAATGTAAAACAGGTCTAACCCCACCCAACTTTGTTCCTGTACTATGTCAGGCTGTCTGGACCATGTGTTGTTCTTTTTGTTTTTTAAATTTGTGCATCTATATTATTGGTAAGGTTTGTGTTGGTCTGTTTTACTGTCCAATTTTTCGGTAATGCCTGCTATGCTTTTACTGTATTATTTACACAAGAGTGCACATGCTGAAATGTCTCGCCTGTTTACTCACCATTGTTTTTATGTTTAAAGTCTTAAAGATAAGGGTTTTACTACAAGTATCTCATAAACTTAACATTTTTAAAGATCCATGACAATGAGGTCAAGGTCAGATAAAACCTTACAATTATTCCATACACCAAATACAGTTGACCCACTGCTTATGGTAATTGAAAAAAACAGACAAAAAACACAAAAACTTAATGTTAACCAATGAACCCATATACCAAATATAGTTATCTTATTACTAATACTAAGTGAGAAATTCACATAACAAAAAAACTGTAATTTTTTTTCAAGCAGTCACTGAACAATGAAAATGAGGTCAAGGACAATGGGCATATGACAGACGGAAACTTTGTAACATAAGGTATCTGCATACAAGGTATGCAGCATCCAGGTCTTCTACCTTCTGAAATATGCAGCTTTATACAAATAGATTACGCCACTGCCAGATAGTAATACCTACGTCTCGCATACTGCAACTTTCATTGCAGGCGAGACAAAATTGATTCCTGCAAGGTAGGTAAAATATCCCATTTTGGGAATATGTTTGTTATCTGTTATCCTCATCCTTTCAACTTATCAGCTGGTGTTTTTCCTACTAAATAATTGTACTTATAGAATAACTAATCTAAGAATTCAACAGTGATCGGGAAGGACGTGCGCCTTGCGCCAATTGCGCTTATCGACCAGAAATGGCGCATAGAGTGACAAATGTAAGCGCCCGCGTGGCGCATGATATTTTTCACTTCGTTTTGAAACGTTGAGATATCGTCAAATGGATTTCCCATTGTATTTCGTGCCGCCATGTGTGAATACACAACTGTGTAGTGTTTACTCCAATTATAGGAGCACCTATGTATTTTTGGGATGTCTCGGGTGTTTTCCTATGGTAATAATAGCAACATGCGATATGACTGATTACCCAAAAAACGTAATTAACCATCATTCATGATATATTTTTTTATAAACAACTTTAAATTTGTGAAAATTGGCTAGTACAGGCGAGAATTCTTCTCTTATTAAAATCTTTTAAGTAAGCTTGCTATTATTTCGATTGAAAAACCCAAAAGCCTTTTTATGAATAGCATAGTATTTGTCTCAATAAACGGGCTTAACTGTCCTTGTCAATTTGTTTGGTCTTTGGCTCGTTTTGACATTTTGTAAACATGCCTTCAGCGAATTGTTGTTGTGTCTTATTAATTAACGTTGCTCTCTACTGTTATTCTTGTTATCGTGATGAAGTAATAATAATACAAGTGCAGAGGAAATGCCAGAAACGTCCTCTAATACGGAACATTTGGAGTAAGTATGGTATCGACGAAGACACAAATTTAATGTAAAAAAACCATGAATATGAACAAAGGAACAGTACCAGTTTTAACATTGTAAATAAAGGTTATCGTAAAAATTGCCCGGTTTGGAAGAAGTTATTGTATATTCATTGAAATTGAAATTACAAAACCACAGGAACAATATCCATGATATTAATTAGAATCATACTTGTAAGTACAGTGAAATATACACTTTTTTTCTTTTTTTTTATTGAGTAAACGAATGGCCCACTCATTTGACAACATGGCCCATTAATTCTAAAAATGGCCCATTGAATTTATTTTTGGGGGGCCCTGGGCCCATAGAGAAAAAATCCTTCCAGATCACTGATTCAAATTTAGAAAAATATTAAAAAAGAGACCGAAAACACATTAAATCACGAATGTGCGCATGAGTTAATTTGTCAGTGTTGTTTTTCGATATTTGAATTCTTTGATTGGTTCTTCTTTTTATTACATTGACGAGCTTTTAAAGGAAATAAAATATTAAATGCAAGGGACTATATCTTTTTCTACTCATTCACAATTTGTTTTGATGTAGCGTCATTGACAACACCCATTGTTGTATGACGTCAGAGAAGTGAAATGATCGAGTTTATTTCACATGTGAAATTGTCGGTTTTTATTTCACTGGGAAATCACAGTAATTCATTGCAAGTAATGTAATAATTATCTATAACTTACAGTAGAATGTCCCTGAGCTATGATATCTTCATGTCCATGGAGAACTCCAGTCTTACTGTCATATAATCTCCAATACACAGAATCCAAGCCACTGTGTACATCATATGCTTCCCATTCTATCCTGTGGAGAATAAATTTAAACAAGAACTGTCTACTTAGCTAGACAACTACTCCTGCATCACAGATTGAGGTTTGAATATGTTAGTTACTGAAAAACAGCAAGTCAATCTAGTTGATAAATTTTGACACTTTCCAAATGTTTTATTTGATGTTGTCTAAGATGTATGCCTTTCTTAAAAGGGCTTCACTGACGAGACTTTTGTAGACTAAGTTACATGCCTGTGGTGTGCAAAATTTTAAACCTGGTGTCTATGATGAGTTAATTTGAAGACAGACAGACAGACAGACAGACAGACAGACAAGGCTGATTGATTCCTATATACCCCCAAACTTTGTTTGCAGGAGGTATAATAATACAACATTAACTACAACATTTTACAGTTACTTAACTTGCAGCTCTAATTTCCTGTGAGTATCATTACCCTTTTAAATAACAAGAATTTGGACACTTATCAATCTAACCTTACCCCCCCATTTATCTCAAAAGGGTCTGACAGATCCTGAAAGTGCATACATTACACATTACAAGTCATCAATGTCAACCCGTAGATCAGATATGTAGTCATTCTGTTCAGTAGCATTGGGGAAACGTGATGAAAATGTTAAGTTTAGTCAGAATATTGAAAAATTCAATGAACAGTAAAACCTGTATAAACCAGCTGGCTATTGGAATATAATAATCTATTTATTAAAAGGTATGTCATGATTTGTGTGAAAATATTGTGACATGAACATTACAAGTGTTCCTTGACCTTTCACCATGTAACTATGCACGATCCTTGTTTTGAGTCTTCGTATTCATTGGCTTTAGAAATAACAGAAATTAGTTGTTCTCGAAATTCAAAGAAATATATATAAACTTTTTTTACATATCCTTAAATGTCAAATCCACCTTGGTATTAGTATCAGTCTCTAAACTCGTCAGTTTTACTTTCACTTTGAGTTTATTGTTTTCATCTGCATCAGAATCATCTCGTTGTTTATTGTTCAACGAGTGTTTATTGTTCAATGAGTGTTTATTGTTCAACGAGTGTTTATTGTTCAACGAGTGTTTATTGTTCAACGAGTGTTTATTGTTCAACGAGTGTTTATTGTTCAACGAGTGTTTATTGTTCAACGAGTGTTTATTGTTCAACGAGTGTTTATTGTTCAACGAGTGTTTATTGTTCAACGAGTGTTTATGTTCAACGAGTGTTTATTGGTCAACGAGTGTTTATTGTTCAATGAGTGTTTATTGTTCAACGAGTGTTTATGTTCAACGAGTGTTTATTGGTCAACGAGTGTTTATTGTTCAACGAGTGTTTATTGTTCAATGAGTGTTTATTGTTCAATGAGTGTTTATTGTTCAACGAGTGTTTATTGTTCAACGAGTGTTTATTGTTCAACGAGTGTTTATTGTTCAACGAGTGTTTATTGTTCAACGAGTGTTTATGTTCAACGAGTGTTTATTGGTCAACGAGTGTTTATTGTTCAATGAGTGTTTATTGTTCAACGAGTGTTTATGTTCAACGAGTGTTTATTGGTCAACGAGTGTTTATTGTTCAATGAGTGTTTATTGTTCAACGAGTGTTTATTGTTCAACGAGTGTTTATTGTTCAAGGAGTGTTTATTGTTCAACGAGTGTTTATTGTTCAACGAGTGTTTATGTTCAACGAGTGTTTATTGGTCAACGAGTGTTTATTGTTCAATGAGTGTTTATTGTTCAACGAGTGTTTATGTTCAACGAGTGTTTATTGTTCAATGAGTGTTTATTGTTCAACGAGTGTTTATTGTTCAACGAGTGTTTATTTAGGGTCTGGTTTACACAGCTTTAACTGTATTGACAAACAGATATTAGGGGATCTGAATTACCGGAGACGTTCTAAATCACCACAACTCATCTCTGCCAAGCTGCTGACTAAATTTGAAGTCATTCTGTTCAGTAGTACCTGTATAAGTGTGACAAACATATTTGTTGGACCATCAACAAATGGACGGACAGACAGACAAAATGAATTTGATTTAGTACCCACTCCTATAATTTAACAGAGGATACCAAAGATCTCCTAAAGACACCAAATTCCCGAAAGGACACAAATATGAAGACAAGCCACTCAACCCTGCCTCTTTTTACACTCTAGCAGCTAAGATTGGCAAGTATAGTTCCTATGGCAATTTCATGAACAGTCATAGAAGGTTTGTACAATGCATGTCTTCTAGTCTTTGGTGTTGTTCAACTACTGAAGATTCATTCATAAGATACCAATTCTCTTGGATATCAAGAATACAGGTGAACGAAGAATGTTCAACGAAGTACAAAATTTTCACAGGATTGTTTGCATATTTTTGTAAAACTACGAAATCTAATATCCACGAATCTTTTCTTCACTACAAGAAAATAAATGAATCCACAATAATCTTTTTTTTTGGACTGAGAGCAATTCAGAGTAAAATAAAAGTATCTCTATATTAATGCAGCACTGAATTCTACAAATTGTAATAAGTTGAAAAAACAACACAAAAATAAGAAAGGAAGAGAAAATAAATTACTTACGTCATCTTTGTAAAATCTTCTAAACTGTGCACACTAACATTTAATCTGTCCCCTTTTGTTAACCATACATTTTCTACAATAGGAGGCGTAGCATCTCTGTACACCACGATTGTTTCTTGGTTAGTCTTGTCCAGTACATCAATAGCTTTAACTGTAGCTGTCAATTGATCTCCATCAGCCCAGTCTAATGTTAAGATGTCATACTGGTTATATATGTTCGAAACAGAGGTGAAAGGTCGTGAATCCTTGACACTTGTGGTTATTGAGTCACTGCTGTCAACCTGATATGATACTTGGAAATCAACAATGGCTGAAATAAAAATACATTGTTTAAGCACTAAAACTATGATATGAGGATGAAGTCAGTTCCTGCTCCACTATATATATTTTTTCGACAACTTTTTGAGAAGACATTTATACAACCATTTAAAAATGTTTTGAAAATGTTTTGTGCTACCTGGGAAGTGGCTGCAACTGTGCTGCTCGGACCAAATAAAAATATACTGTGAAAGCATATGCCTAGTGAACAAGACCCCTAAAACTCACATCAGTATTCTGTAAGCTTAAAACATCCAATAGGTATATTTTGTTAAATATTGCATATATGATCAGCAAATTTTTATGTTTACTGGATTTGGTTTGTGACATTTGTGTATTCTTTACTTATGATTATAGTTTTATAAAAAACACAGAAAAGTACATGGTTAATAAAAAAACTTCAGTTCAAAAGGAGAGACCATTAACTTAAATTTAGAAGTTTTTAAAAAGATATAATTGTAAATTGATATATTCTTTTATACATTTTTTTTTTTTAAATATTGTGAAGCCTAATGAATCCTGTTACATCCTAAACCTTACCATGCACATTATTTATTTGAACATTTGTTCTGTCTCCATACAAATCTTCATACACCACAATTTTAGGTTCCCCTGGTGCATATGTCTGTACCAGGTTTAACCATTTATTATTTTTATGTCTGATATTTATAAATCGATCTTTCCAATCGACCTTGACCTGGTTTGTATCTATAGTAACCCAAGTATATGATGTATCTTCAGAGGCAGTTGAACAGTAGGTCGGCTGATTTCCTTGGGTATCTACAACAGACTGGTCATCATACAGGAAAAGATTTCTGCCTGTTTTAAAATTTCCAGCTTTATCATAGGCAACAAGATGTAAGGAATACATCCCAGGTTCCGTCAAAACCACAGATCCCTAAAATACAACAAACAATTCAAGATAATGTATACAAATAAATTTAAACTGGTTTTATGCTGTATATGCCCTTATATTTAACAGGTTTTTTGTTTGTGAGTGGTTTTGATTTATGATTTATTTTTTAGTTGTTATTGACTTTGAACTAGCTTTCAGTAACTGCGAGTTCTCTCAGATCTGGATTTTGTGTCTTAAGTGTTTTTGTGCTTTTGATCTTTATTTTGAGCTAAACTCTTTTCAACTGTTTTTTATAGTTTGTTTTACATTTGTCATTTGGGATTTTAACAGCTTGGATACAAAAACATGTCTTTCATGGATACAAAAATATATCTGTATCTGTCATGGATACAAAAAACATGTCTGTCATGCATACAAAAACATGTCTTTCGGGCATAGAAAAACATATCTGTCATGGATACAAAACATGTCTTTCATTCTTTTGTGGATACAAAAACATGTCTTTCATAGCTACAAAAATATATCTGTCATGGATACAAAACATGTCTGTCATCGATACAAAACCATGTCTATCATGGATAATGTATAATATTTGAATTTTTATGATACAAAAAAATGTCTGTCTTGAATACAAAAACATTCAAAAACATGTCTGTCTGGTATACAAAACATGTTTGTCATGGATAATTTATAAGATTCGAAAGTGACTACCATCACACTAAGTTACACCAAATGTTTTAAAATCACTAACTTCCACACTTATATAGGCGATAATTGACACCCTTGCAAAGTACAGACAAATCAGTAATTGGTCCGTAACACACAAACAGTTCTATAACAAGTACTAGCTATACTTGTATATTCAGTAATAATGGTACACTTATTTATTAATTGTAACTAAGAAAATTCAGTTATTAGTACATTTGCATATTCATTTTAACTTGCAGAAGATTCAGTAATTGGTGCACTAGCATATTTATTGAAGTTTACAAAGAATTCAGATATTAGTAAATGTGTACTTACAGAGGATTCAGTGATTGGTACACTTGTACTTACAGAGGATTAGTAATTGGTTCACTTGTACTTGCAAAAGATTCAGTTATTGGTTCACCTGCACTTAAAGAGTATTCAGTGATTGGTATACTTGTACTAACAGAGGATTCAGTGATTGGTAAACTTGAACTTACAGAGGATTCAGTGATTGGTTCATTTGTACTTGCATAAGATTCAGTTATTGGTTCACTTGCACTTAAAGAGTATTCAGTAATTGGTACACTTGTACTTACAGAGGATTCAGTGATTGGTTCACTTGTACTTACAGAGGATTCAGTGATTGGTTCACTTGTACTTGCATAAGATTCAGTTATTGGTTTACTTGCACTTAAAGAGTATTCAGTAATTGGTATACTTGTACTTACAGAGGATTCAGTGATTGGTACACTTGTACTTACAGAGGATTCAGTGTTTGGTTCACTTGTACTTGCATAGGATTCAGTTATTGGTTCACTTGCACTTAAAGAGTATTCAGTAATTGGTACACTTGTACTTACAAAAGATTCAGTGATTGATACACTTGTACTTACAGAGGATTCAGTGATTGGTTCACTTGTACTTGCATAAGATTCAGTTATTGGTTCACTTGCACTTAAAGAGTATTCAGTAATTGGTACACTTGTACTTACAGAGGATTCAGTTATTGATACACTTGGACTTACAAAAGATTCAAGGATTGGTTCACTTGCACTAACAGAGGATTTAGTGATTGGTACACTTTTACTTACGGAGGATTCAGTGATTGGTACCCTTGAACTTACAGAATGCAGTGATTGGTACACTTGTACTAACAGAGGATTCAGTGATCAGTACACTTCTTTTAACAGAGGATTCAGTGATTGGTACATTTGGACTTACAAAGGATTCAGTGATTGGTTCACTTGGACTTACAAAGGATTCAGTGATTGGTACACTTGCACTTGCAGAGGATTCAGTGATTGGTACACTTTTACTTACAGAGGATTCAGTTATTGGTACACTTTTACTTACAGAGGATTCAGTGATTGGTTCACTTGTCCTTACAGAGAATTCAGTGATTGATACACTTGGATTTACAAAAGATTCAGTGATTGGTTCACTTGTACTTACAAAGGATTCAGTTATTGGTACACATGGACTTGCAGAGGATTCAGTGATTGGTTCACTTGTCCTTACAGAGAATTCAGTGATTGATACACTTGGACTTACAAAAGATTCAGTGATTGGTTCACTTGTACTTACAAAGGATTCAGTGATTGGTACACTTGGACTTGCAGAGGATTCAGTGATTGGTACACTTGTACTTACAGAGGATTTGGTGATCAGTACACTTTTTAAACAGAGGATTCAGTGATTAGTTCACTTGTACTTACAGAGGATTCAGTGATTGATTCACTTGTCCTTACAGATGATTCAGTGATTGTTACACTTGGACCTACAAAGAATTCAGTGACTGGTACACTTGGACTTACAGAGGATTCAGTGATTGGTACATTTGTACTTACAGAGGATTCAGTGATTGGTACATTTTTATTTGATGACACTAAAGATCCACCAGCGCCAGCACCATCAATCAATATTGAACCATCCACTCCAAGGTCAAACAGGTCATATTCATAATGATCTAGTCCTGATAAGTCATCTGACCATCCTCCCCATGTAAAACTCAGATTAGGCTACAACAGATACATATATACACTATTTTTTAAAACAAATGAGGCCAAGATAAATGCATAACTGTTTTTAGCTTCCCAATAATTTATTTCCATGTCCTTTTTTTCTGACAACTTTTTGTCAAACAATACTAAAGGGATGGTTGTTTACATATATATAATCATAGTTTTCCACAAATAAAATCATGTTAACTTCTGATCTTCTCTATTTTTAGAACTTATGAAACAATTGACAAAGAAGTATTTTTTACCTAATTATTATTGTTATACAGCTATCAATGCATTAATTAAAACATCGCAATCATTTTTGAACTTACTGTAGTTAGTTGTATTTGTACTTTGGAAATTAATACTGAAAAGATACCTGCATACTAAATAAGATTCCTTGTAGTATTTATAATACATAACGATCAATACTTACATCTTCAGTTAAATCATCTAAAATATTTAGAAATGGAGTACAAGATGTTCCTGACGACACAGAACAATGATAAGGGTTCTCTAAATCCCAGTGGAACTCAAACTCCCGTGTCAGGGTTTGTCCAGAATAGTAATAAGTCTTTTTCACAGAATCTGTGGAACTAGAGTCACGGTTAGCCACACTCACATATCCTCCATTGGTAGAGGAGAATTCAGCAACTACTCTGGAAATTCATATCATTTGTAAATGAACATGAAATCATTATTCTGACAACATATTGAAGTTGTAAATAGTTTTTCTATACTTTCTGACAGTTGACAATTTAACAAACAGCAAATACACAACTTTAAGAAACCTTGCTTGTTTTGTGTTGATGAGTTGCTGTCCCACAGTTTCAGTGACAAGCACCCCACATTTTTATTTATTGATAAAATGTAAAATTTATAGTATTAGCAACATAAAGATATCAATATGATGAATAGAGTAGTATTGGTAGGGTTAGTTTTAGGTCATCAGATAGACCATCTAGAGATGTCCCGAAGAACTACCCAAGAATCAGCCTCTTCTGGTACATAACTAATGGCTAATAGTCAACGTCTATATTACTGAAGAGCAATCTGGCCGTTTCTGACAAAGGACCAACCATCCAAGGCATCTATTGGTATTTAGATATTACTTGGGCGTTACTATAATATTGTAAAATGATATTTTGCAGTTTCAAACTGTTATATAGTTATTTCTTAGCAATTAAGTGAAAACACTCTGGCAAAACAATTGGACAATGAGGTATTCAAAACTAACCAAAACAAATTGTTCACAATGTACTTATACCATAATATATAAGGATAGGAATAGCCTTTTAGAATCACGAGTCTTTTTTACAACCAAAATAGTCTATAAATTCTAAGGTCACATTGGTCATATCATATTTCTATTAAACATTTGTGTCTAACAAAGTAAAACATTAGTTTCTAAAATTATCTGAAGAAAAAAGTTGCCATTTAATTATCAAGTTTAATTACCACACCCATATATACATACCTATCATTATGAGTAAATGACCAAGCATTAAAGGAAAAGCTGCATTCTTTAAAATCTACAGGCTGGTTTTTATTCATACCATTACATGTCTTTGTCTGTTTGGAAACATATGTTGAACCTATAAACAGAACCAGTATACTGTAGGAACTGATGGTCATTCTATTAATTTTATTGAGACTTGTTGGTCACCGTTATTTAGCATGAAATTACAAAAAGTAATTAAAATTGGTGCGGTAGAAAAATAAGACACAAATTTCATTCTTGTCCATTATGTTTAGAATATATAAGTATTCAGAAAACAGTTGATTAGCCATGAATCTGAAACGTCACAGTATACCATGGGACTGCCCTGGCACTCAGACGGACGGACAGACAGGAGTGGGGATATAAATATAGTCAATAGACTCACAAAAACCACTGAAGGAGTGTTATGCGGCATCAATAACCCAGAAGTAATCTTAAATCAAAGAGCTTGGAAGCTCTGAGGGAGAAAACGGCCATTGTTTATATTTTATATATATGGGGTATCTTATGATATATTTGGAATATTTCCAGATTATAAAAGAAGCGTAAATAAAAAAAAGGGAGAGCTTGAAACACAATGATTGCATGAGAAACAGATGGGAAATGTGTTTAAACCCAATCTGTTTATTTGTTCAATCTCCTTCTTATCAAATAAGTATGAAATTTCAAGTTGTTTGGAACTATAAGGCACAAAATGGTTGGCATGAGAGTCTTGTAAAGTCAAAATGAACATCTAGCCAACCATATAGGTCATTGTTGAAGGCTGTAAGGTAACCTATATTTCTACCTCATTAATTGTCTCATTGGCAATCATACCACATCTTATTTTCATATTTGCCAGTTTTCTTTGCAACGATCATAGGTATAGTTAAACAGTAAGCATTCATATACCATAATTGCTGTTCAAGATAACAAGATGCAGACTGAAACATACCTTTCCCCTAGGGGATCATCTCAATTCTCTCCAAATCAACAATCATTAATTATCTTGAAACTGTACTGACCCCCACACATTAATCTTTGTAATATTTGTCTCACCAGCATTATTTTTGAAATGAAAGTGCAAAATAAATATTACAAATACTCACAGGACTTCTAACTCCTGTTTGAACAAATAAATAATTTATAGCAGGGCTTCCATGGCCAAGAGGTCTAAATAGTTAATTTTCAAAGATCACTAGCCTGTCGATGCTGAGATAATGAAACACTGAGGTAATGAGTTCCAACCCTGCTTGAGGCAGGTACATTTGACTCTGATCTTAAGTGACTATGATTGTTAGGTCAGTGGTTCTCTCTGGGCACTTCAGCTTCCTTCACCAACAAAAACTGGCAGCAATAATATAGCCAAGAGTGTTGAAAGTGGCATTTAACACCAGCAATCAATCAATCATTTATAACATCATTTATTCCGTTTCAATAAGAATATCTTTGGTAAAAACCACATATATACTAAGCTGCCCTATGAAAGCCACTAAAACAAAACTCAATAAAAAAAATACCTTTATAATATAAGAGAGTTGCTTTTTCCTCAATGACACCAACTCGGAAATATTTCACATAATGTTGAGAATCTCTATTATCAGCTGGCTGCAAATATTTTGCTCTTTCAACTACTGAAATACTGCTATATGCAGCAAAGTTTGTCCAAATAGTTGCATGGCCATCAGTGACCCAGTTTGGATCATTTTCTAGAACATGATGTCCACCGTTGTCAGAAAATTTACAATGATTGTATTCTATTGTTGGTGTGTTGTCAACTGAAAAGAATAATTTAATTGAAAATAACTTCCTTCCAATCAGTGATAGTGTTTTATTGTACAACACATGTACATTTGTAATTCATCAATATATTGTACAACACATGTACATTTGTAATTCATCAATTTATTGTACAACACATGTACATTTGTAATTCATCAATTTATTGTACAGCACATGTACATTTGTAATTCATCAATTTATTGTACAACACATGTACATTTGTAATTCATCAATTTATTGTACAACACATGTACATTTGTAATTCATCAATTTATTGTACAACACATGTACATTGTAATTCATCAATTTATTGTACAACACATGTACATTTGTAATTCATCAATTTATTGTACAAAAACATGTACATTGTAATTCATCAATTTATTGTACAACACATGTACATTTGTAATTCATCAATTTATTGTACAACACATGTACATTGTAATTCATCAATTTATTGTACAACACATGTACATTTGTAATTTGTACTTTTTTTCTTACTTGTGTTTTATGCATATGTGTTTTAGTGTTTCAAATATTTGAAGGACTGACATTCAATAGGATAAATTGTGAAAAACAATAAAAAATAATTCTATGATGGCCTGTGACCATGGTGACAGATCCATGGGACAAATGTGCCCCCAATCCCTTATTATTATGGCAGAAAATTTGCATTTTCATAAAAAAAAATAAAAAAATTCCTGTTTCATATACCCCTTTAAAACAAAATTTTTCAGTGTCCCCCTTTTTGAAACTCTTGAATCATGTCATGGTCCATAAGCTCATCTGCAGATCTCATTCCAAAATTTTTATATCTTGAAGTTAAGTTAACACATAATTTCCTATTGTTATTAGGCCAAATAAAATAATATGTTTGGTTAATGTTTCCCTACCATCCATAATCTTACTAAACATTTTGGCCATTTTGAAGTGTTAAAGCACTGATTAAAGTTCTGATGTGTCCTCGGTATATTTTATAAAAAAAATTATCAAGTTATTATTTACTTCAAGGGAACACCAAGTATCTCTTTATGTTCTATATGACAAAGGCCTGCACCCCTGCCCCATAATTATATACTCACTGTTTTCACAATGTGTTCCACTAAAGTTATCAGCACACACACAACCACTGGCGAGTTCATTAGTACAAGTTCCAGGGTAACATCGTGTACTATCTGTTCTCCATGAACAAGCCTCTGCAAATAGAATAGTATCACATTCAGGTAACAACAAATATATCACAGATGGGTGTGATAATTCAAACAGAATATATCCTAGATATTCAGTGAGTCACATGGAATATTAAAATTGTATACAACTCAAGTGAAAATTGTTGATGTGAAAACAGCTTATTAACTAGAATTAGGTAGTCTAGTGATCACTTGAAGAAAAACTCATGTTAAAGCAAATGTCAAACTCCAACTTTCAAATCAAATGTAAAGTGTATTTTATGGTAATGACACATATAATGTGTATTTTAGGGTAATTACACTCGTTGGTTAATCATCATCTGGAAACTGAAGAAAACCCAGCTTTTAAGGTGACTAAGGGGCATAACTCTTGAAAGGTAAATGTAAAGCCATCAAAATCAGACTTGATCTATATTCTATGGTCCATTACATTGTGTTCAAGTTCAAAACATTTGGTTCAGCAGTATTTAATCATCACAAAACAAAACCAAACTTTAAAGGTAATAACTCTAAAACAGTAAATGTCAAAACCATCAATACTGACCTTGATCTGTATTTTATGGCTTGTAACATTCTGTCAAAACTTCAAGTTTTTGTTCATAGGTAATTTAATCATCATTCGGAAACCAAACCAAATTTTTAAGGTAATTAAGGGGTTTAACTCTTGAATGGTGAATGTCAAAACCATTAATTTGAAAATCAAATTTGACCTGTATGGTCCATATGACATTATGTTCAAGTTTCAAGAGATTTTGTTAAGTGGTGCTTTAATTATCATCCAAGAAACCAAACTTGTGAAGGATGGTCTACTACTATGACGATGTTTAACAACCTAGACTGCCTATGAGGGTGTAACATGATTGGGTTAAGGATGAACTAACAGAAGGAAAGACATCCCTATATGACTCAACTTCTTGAAGCTGGGGTAAAACCATGGTGCATCTTCTGATAAATTGAACAGATATGACCACTGAAATTAAATTGTGGACAGATGACTGTTTTTTAGTTGTAGACTTTTAACAACTGGTATAACATTGAAGTATTCTGTAATTTTCTGAGGCATCAAAAACAACATCAGTTTCCAAGGGAAATAACTCTACTCACTTTGACATTTTGTATTATCAAGATGTCTTGTGTAAGCTCTCCAATATATATTTGGTGTTATTTCCCCATCACACCATTCACAGTGCTGATTGCTAGAGGTAGTACATCTTCTGTAGTTACAATGATCAATGGTCCCACATACTGTAAAGATAAGAAATACAATGATTAATGGGTCCACATACTGAAAACATAGTCTATGGGCCTACATACTGTAACATAAGAAAAAACAATGATAAATGGGTCCACATACTGAAAACATAAGAAAAACAATGATAAATTGGCCCACATACTGTAAACATGAGAAATACAATGATCAATGGGCCCACATACTGTAAACATAAGAAAAAATAATGATAAATTGGTCCACATACTGTAAACATGAGAAATACAATGATCAATGGGCCCACATACTGAAAACATAAGAAAAAGAATGATCAATGGGCCAATATACTGTAAACATTAGAATAACAGGGCCAATATACTATTAACATTAGAATAATAATGATCAATGGGTCAATATACTGTAAACATTAGAATAACAGGGCCAATATACTGTTAACATTAGAATAACAATGATCAATGGGCCAATATACTGTAACCATAAGAAAAACAATGGTCAATGGGCCGATATACTGTAAACATTAGAAAAACAATGGTCAATGGGCCGATATACTGTAAACATTAGAAAAACAATGATCAATGGGCCAATATACTGTAAACATAAGAAAAACAGGGCCAATATACTGTTAACATTAGAATAATAATGATCAATGGGTCAATATACTGTAAACATTAGAATAACAGGGCCAATATACTGTTAACATTAGAATAATAATGATCAATGGGTCAATATACTGTAACCATAAAAACAATGATCAATGGGCCGATATACTGTAAACATTAGAATAACAGGGCCAATATACTGTTAACATTAGAATAATAATGATCAATGGGTCAATATACTGTAAACATTAGAATAACAGGGCCAATATACTGTTAACATTAGAATAACAATGATCAATGGGCCAATATACTGTAAACATTAGAATAACAATGATCAATGGGCCCACATACTGTAAACATAAGAAAAAATAATGATAAATTGGTCCACATACTGAAAACATAAGAAAAACAATGATCAATGGGCCAATATACTGTAAACATAAGAATAACAGGGCCAATATACTGTTAACATTAGAATAATAATGATCAATGGGTCAATATACTGTAAACATTAGAATAACAGGGCCAATATACTGTTAACATTAGAATAACAATGATCAATGGGCCAATATACTGTAACCATAAGAAAAACAATGATCAATGGGCCCACATACTGTAAACATAAGAAAAAATAATGATAAATTGGTCCACATACTGAAAACATAAGAAAAACAATGATCAATGGGCCAATATACTGTAACCATAAGAAAAACAATGGTCAATGGGCCAATATACTGTAAACATTAGAAATCAAAGCGTGAAAGCGCTGTAAAGGCAGTTAATTACAGGTTGTGTGTATTTTTAGTCCAGTTATATCATTATCTTGCATAGTACATTGTACTTATCAGAGGTGGCTTTCAGTATTTAAGATTTAGAGTTCTCTAATGATATTGAACAAGTTTTATGAATGTCATATTCTGAGCACTATATGAAGGCGATTGTTCTCACTTGTTTATGAACTAGTGCATTATGTCCAGTTTGTACCTTTTTTATCTATGTTTATAGTCAAATACTGTTTAAAATAGTTTGGCATTTTCTTTTTAGTAATAAGTAAATGTTATCAACTGTATTTTATTCAACTTTGCAAATGTGGTTTGTGACTGGTAAGTACAATGTATGGATGATAGTTGTTTCATTGGAAATCATAACACATCTCCTTATTTATATAATGACCTATATTCAATGACCTCAGGTACATAAAAAATGTATGTAACTAAACTATGATGGGAAACCTTTGACTTCTTTCTTTTATATAAACTTTTGATTTGGTACCATAGAACTATGTAGAATAAATGTACATTGCAACATGTCAACTCTTTCAATGACAATACTTTTTTTAGAAACTATAACTCCAAGCAAAATTATATTTCCAAGTATAAAGTAATTTATGAATGAAACAAGAGTGCACATGCTGAAATGCCTCGCCTTCTTTACTAATCATTGATATTATGTTGATAGTCCTAAATATAAAGCTTTATTACAACTGTCACATAAACTTAACATTAACCAAGTAAACTAAGCATTGACCAATGAACCAAGAAAACGAGGTCAAGGTCAGATGAACCATGCTAGGCAGGCATGTACAGCTAACAATTCTTCCATACAACAAATATAGTTGACCTATTGCTTATAGTTTAAGAAAAACAGACCAAAACACAAAAACTTAAAACTGAGCAACTGACCTGGAAAATGAGGTCAAGGTAAAAAAAAAAACCTGTGTGACTGACAAATAGATCATAAAATATTTCCATATACCAAATACAGTTGAACTATTGCATATAGTATTAGAAAAAAAGACCAAAACTCAAAAACTTAACTTTGACCACTGAACCATGAAAATGAGGTCAAGGTCAGATGACACCTGCCAGCTAGACATGTACACCTTACAATCATTCCATACACCAAATATAGTAGACCTATTGCATACAGTATAAGAAAAACAGACCAAAACACAAAAACTTAACTATAACCACTGAACCATGAAAATGAGGTCAAGGTCAGATGACACCTGCCAGTTGGACGTGTACACCTTACAGTCCTTCCATACACTGAATATACTAGACCTATTGCTTATAGTATCTGAGATATGAACTTGACCACCAAAACTTAACCTTGTTCACTGATCCATGAAATGAGGTCGAGGTCAAGTGAAAACTGTCTGACGGGCATGAGGACCTTGCAAGATACGCACATACCAAATATAGTTATCCTATTACTTATAATAAGAGAGAATTTAACATTACAAAAAATATTAACTTTTTTTTCAAGTAGTCACTGAACCATGAAAATGAGGTCAAGGACATTGGACATGTGACTGACGGAAACTTCGTAACATAAGGCATCCATATACAAAGTATGAAGCATCCAGACCTTCCACCTTCTAAAATATAAAGCTTTTAAGAAGTTAGCCAACGCCGCCGCCGGATCACTATCCCTATGTCGAGCTTTCTGCGACAAAAGTCGCAGGCTCGACAAAAAGGAGTTCTTAATTAAGAAATAAACTGATTCGCTGAGCGCAGCTGGATACAGCCGCAGAGGTCCAACCATGAACAGTTGGGGCAAAAATGGACACAATATTCAAGCTTGATACAGGTCTGAATTTGGATTGTAATCAAATATTTGACATATTATAGTTTCTGAATAAATGTAGTCACAGAACTTGAAATCGATTATATGAATTGAATTTATATTCAATTAAAGATTTCTTGCTGTTGTGCAATACACTGTGCTGTTGCGCAATACTTAATAAATCTGTTGCCAGACTATAAACAAATAAAGTTCAACTTCTTCTCAATGCCATATTTGAAATTTATGAAAATCAATAGGGAGATTACATCAATAGCTATAAATAATTCACCAAAGTTTCATGCGAACTGCTTAAAGCATTTTTTAGTTGTTGTCCAAAAACTGGAAAATCCCCGCTTTTTTAATGAATAAAACCCCATAACTCAGAAATGTAAAATCTAAAATTTATAAAATTCTAAAGGGAGCTTACGGATTGATAATTTAGTCTTAGATGCAAGATTTTTTTATCAGTTGTTAGTGGCTTTGAACTAGCTGTCAGTAAATGCGAGTACTCTCAGATCTGTACTTAGTGTCTTTTTGTTGTTTGGATGTACAACTACCCGGCCTCGTCCACTTGTATTTGTATTTATCCATCTGATGAGTTAAGCCTCTTTCAACTGATTTTTATAGTTCATTCTTATATTGTACTGTTACACCACTGTCCCAGGTTAGGGGTGGGTTGGGATCCCGCTAACATGTTAAACCCCACAAATTCTGTATGTACATGTATGTGCCTGTCCCAAGTCAGGAGCCTGTAATTCAGTGGTTGTCGTTTGTTTATGTGTTGCATATTTGTTATTCGTTCATTTTTTGTACATAAATTAGGCCGTTAGTTTTCTTGTTTGAATTGTTTTACATTGTCATTTCAGTGCCTTTTATAGCTCACTGTGCGGTATGTGCTTTGCTCATTGTTGAAGGCCGTACTGTGACCTATAGCTGTTAATTTCTGTGTCATTTGGTCTCTTGTGGAGAGTTGTCTCATTGGCAATCATACCACATCTTCTTTTTTATATTTACATCAACAGATATAAACAATTCACCAAAGTCAAGGTGAGACAACAAAACTTAGTTGTAAGATCTCTGAAATTTTTTACACGGTACAAGTTTTTCTAATTGTTGGAGATTGCACGGTGACAGTAACACCTGTAACTGCTTTACCCATTTCTTATGCACTTTGGTTCGATAAACTCACTGAATATCATACCACATCTCCTTATTTTTATATGCATTACAATTTACATGTGCATGTAATTGTAAATAATATTTATATATATATATATCAGAACAAACTTCATTGCGTCACTTTTATTTATGCATCCTTTGGCACAATACAAGTTCTGAAATTACACAACATAAAACAACTAAATGTTATTTCAGATGAAAGTTTTGTTTCAGTTCCATTCATAGGATTTATTAGAATTTTGTATGTTTTGCCAAGTCCAATAATTAGCTCTATGTGCACATGTTAATTGGAGACTTTTCTATCCCGTATAAGAGTTTTGGAACTAATTCTGTTTCTTTTTTTGAAAAAAGTGAGCAAACAAATCATGCACATTTAAACCTTTGTCTGCCATCACACTGTCACCTGGATCACATAATTGAACTATTCTACATCTTTCAACTATTTCACAGTCACTGGTACAACCAACATATGCATTAGAGACATAGTTGACTAAACCACCAGGAGTCGAACATACACGTATTTTCAGTGTTTCTGTTTTTATATGATGAAAAGGTTGCCTGAGCTCTAGGAGCTTTAGGTTTTATCACGGGATATTCTGTGCTGTCAATAATAATCCAAGTTGTAGGAAACTTTAATTTGAAGTTGGATGGCGAAAAAATATTTGACTAAACCACTAAATGGCCAAGTGTTAGCCTCACACCACTGTTTAGACATAAAAACAATCCATGTTTACACAATATTCTTAACACTAGTTTCAATCTAGAATCTAGACAGTTCAAAGTTAGTTGTATAATGCCTCAATTTCATCAAAGTCATAAAAAAACTGATTTTCAAATGACACCCTATCAATTTGAAAATATATATATCTCAAACAATGTGCTGCTGGACCAAGTGTGGTCAAAACAAATAAAAATTTAGTATACAAGTTACAACTCTAAACCGGTATATAAATGCATGGCTGTGTCACGTGTCTTCATTTCAAAATTCTCTGCTGAAAATATAGGCATTGATGGTGTTTGCGTAATTCCATCTGTGAAGCTCAACATTAGCTCTGCAGTTGGTGGTGGACAGTCATAAATCATGTCTGCAGTATGAATGACTTCTTCAGGAAAACCAACTTTACAATCAAAACTTTCCTCTAGATTTCTACTACAATATTCATCAAGTTTAGTTCTTTTGTTTTCACAGGAAACTGCCCTGATTTTTCTTTTTGCGGACGATTCAGTCTCTTGCTTGGTCCAGGAAAATAGGCTGGGAATGGCAGTAGACTTAAATCTCTGTATGGTGGGTTTGCACCCTGAAAAAGGTTATAAAACATTAGTTTTTTGATAATTAAATGAACTTTCATTAGCAATGCATACTTTATACTACCTGGCAAAATATTAACTAGATTTATTCATTACAATATGGATAAAAATATGTTAGCCTGATTCAATGTACATCAAAATGTATGTTATGTAAATCCAAAGGACAAACAATGAGAGACTTATGCAACAAACATACATTGTTTGTACCTAAATAACTATAATATAGATGAGAGCATGTCATTGTTTTGTTCCTGTTAACATTGGCATAGCTTATGCATTCCTGTCATTACTACATTAGCATAATTACTGCTAAAATAATTCTCAGTATGATATACCTCTTGTAAGAAATCATTATAATTGTAGCAAGCACCAAATAATCTCAAACAGATCACATTGAATCATAATCCAAAAAATTATGACGTCTTGAATTAACCACCCCCTTTTATTCTAAAACGATAATTGCGGTTGTAAACAGACTTTGGTTATTTCGCATGGCGATTACATATATAACTATATATTTTAAAAAGAAAATAGAGTTTTACCATGAATAGTTTCCTGCACGTAGTCTTTTTCAGTAAAATGTGCCTTGCAAACAACAGCTGATTGAGATGGACTCCACGATTTCATCGTGTTCTCGTCCAATCTGCGTATGGGCCATGGCGTTGATCCAACTTTTCCTTCTTTTTTAAGTCATTTGGAAATGCATGTCCTCCTCTTAAATGACATCCAGGTACACAACAACAAGTACTTGGCATCGTTAATTAAAAATGCAACTGTATAGTTGCACAGTGCAGAAACCAGAAGTTGAAGAACAGGATCGGCTACCACGGCGCCACCTATTCAGGAACGATAATTTGCTACTTTATATAACTGCGAAATAACAATAACGTTAGACGGGTTCGCGTGCATAAACAGAAATGCGCTTTAAATTGTATAATATAATTCATGTTCAGTCGACCTTTAATTATTATATCAACGACTGAAATGATTTATAAACATCTAGATTGCAGATAACACTCGAAATTAACCCGACCTCTTTCCACACGGAATTCAAATAATTCTAGTTTGTCAATCGGTTGACTGCTTATAATGTAAAATACAAATATATCAAAAGTTTTTAAAACTAACTAAACACAATGATCGTTTCTCTATTTCCCAATGTTAATGAAATGAAACAAAAAACATTTTATATCACAATAAGAAGAGGAGAGAATCAACATTTTCCGGATCTACTTGGAGCCTAATGACCCCCCACGTAGATAAGTTGGATGTCGCGGAAAGAAAGATTAACATGGCAACTAGAAAGGCATTAAAGCACTGCCTTTAAAAACAATGATCAATAGGCTGATATACTGTAACCATAAGAAAAACAATGACCAATGGGCCGATATACTGTAAACATTAGAAAAACAATTATCAATTTGAAATAACACAAATAATTCAATATGTTCTAAATCCCTTTAATATTATTTCACTTCTTTCTGCCAAGCCCCCTTATTTGTTAGTCTCACTCTTTAACCCCTACATGTTGCTCTAGGGTTGCCATCTCTCCTGTCTTTCCCCTCTACCAACTATTTGTCACAAAAAAAATAGATAAAAAAGAGATGCGGAAGCTACCAAACAGATATTCAAACTCATAAGTCCATGACAAGCTGAAAATGGAGTGGCAAAAAACATGTCCAAAAGATAAACAGTTCAAGTGTCCCAAACTCACCAGTCAATTGTCACAGATTCATAAAAAAGTGATAAGTATAAAAAAAGAGGATGTGGTATGATTGCCAATGAGACAACTCTTCACAAGAGACCAAATGACACAGAAATTAACAACTATAGGTCACCGTACGGCCTTCAACAATGAGCAAAGCCCATACCGCATAGTCAGCTATAAAAGGCTTCGAAATGACAAATGTAAAACAATTCAAATGAGAAAACTAATGGCCTAATTTATGTACAAAAAAAATGAACGAAAAACAAATATGTAACACATCAACCATTGACAACCACTGAATTACAGGCTCCTGACTTGGGACAGGTCTCTTATAGAAACATTGTTCCGTCTACATCAATGTTTTAAATATATTTAATCTGCCAGTACAGTCCTTCTAAATGTATACTTAACAATTAGAACTTAGAAAATTGTGGTTAGTTCTTCTAAATAGATTTGATTGTTGCAGTTGGATTAATAACCCAGTGATACTTACAACGACAATATGGTCCATCAGCATAGAATCCATGATTGCAGTCTGTACAAACATTTGGAGATGAACAACTTCCTCCACTGTGGTAGACATTTCCTAGTCTTGTTATCTGATAATCAGAAGAATACGATATACCACAAGCGTCATTTAAATCAGTTTTTCCGTCACAAATTGCTGAAAAAGAAATCAGATAAGGCTTAATAAGTAATATTGAAAATAATAAATGTCTTACAAACATACTCCATAAACATTCCACATTTTTGTTATCTAGGACTTCCCATATCGGAAAAAACAGATTTAGTCCCATTCTGTTTGGGACTGAGGTATTTAGTCCAATTCTGTTTGGGACTGAGGTATTTAGTCCCATTCTGTTTGGGACTGAGGTAAGATCTCATTAAGGTATACCCCACATCTCCTTTATTTATCATGTTTACATTTACTGAATCCGAAATAATAGTATGTACAATTATTAGCAAAATTATGTATATTTTTCTCAAAATAAAAGAGGTATATATATGCTGTTGATATAAACTTCATAAGAACTGGACAATAAATGTAGGTGAGGAGTCACTCCGAGTGCCTGCTGATTCCTGTACACAGAAGTTATACTTAACAGTGGTGAATCCAGGGGGGGGGGAGTTCCGGGGTTGGAATGTCCCCTTTTTTTTGACAATCAATGCTTTTGAATGTCGACATATGGTTGGAATTCCCCTTTATCCTGGGTTGGAACCCCCTTTAAAAAATGGCTGGATCTGCCCCTGCTTAAGTAGTCCTAACAATATTTGTGACAACAGTCTATGGTGATTTAACCCCTGTAGCCATAAGGACAGTTGTTTTCAACTTCAGAGACAAACTTTAGATCTGTTTAACCACTGTAGCCATAAGGACAGTTGTTTTCAACTTCAGAGACAAATTTTAGATTTGTTTAACCACTGTAGCCATAAGGACAGTTGTTTTCAACTTCAGAGACAAACTTTAGATCTGTTTAACCACTGTAGCCATAAGGACAGTTGTTTTCAACTTCAGAGACAAACTTTAGATCTGTTTAACCACTGTAGCCATAAGGACAGTTGTTTCCAACTTCAGAGACAAACTTTAGATCTGTTTAACCACTGTAGCCATAAGGACAGTTGTTTTCAACTTCAGAGACAAACTTTAGATCTGTTTAACCACTGTAGCGTTAAGGACAGTTGTTTTCAACTTCAGAGACAAACTTTAGATTTGTTTAACCACTGTAGCCATGAGGACAGTTGTTTTCAGCTTCAGAGACAAACATAAGATCTGTTTAACCACTGTAGCCTTAAGGACATTTGTTTTCAACTTCAGAGACAAACTTCAGATTTGTTTAACCACTGTAGTCATGAGGACAGTTGTTTTCAACTTCTGAGACAAATTTTAGATTTGTTTAACCACTGTAGCCATAAGGACATTTGTTTTCAACTTCAGAGACAAATTTTAGATTTGTTTAACCACTGTAGCCATAAGGACAGTTGTTTTCAACTTCAGAGACAAACTTTAGATCTGTTTAACCACTGTAGCCATAAGGACAGTTGTTTTCAACTTCAGAGACAAATTTTAGATTTGTTTAACCACTGTAGCCATAAGGACAGTTGTTTCCAACTTCAGAGACAAACTTTAGATCTGTTTAACCCCTGTAGCCATAAGGACAGTTGTTTTCAGCTTCAGAGACAAACTTTAGATCTGTTTAACCACTGTAGCCATAAGGACAGTTGTTTTCAACTTCAGAGACAAACTTCAGATCTGTTTAACCACTGTAGCCTTAAGGACAGTTGTTTACAACTTCAGAGACAAACTTTGGATTTGATGTGTTTTATTTATTTTCACTAAATACACATATCTAATATCATCCAAAAAGTACTATATTATACCAATACATTTCCATTCTCCAAATATATAAGATGTTCATGACATTAAGTAAAAAATTTAAAAGAAGGTTTATTATTGCTGATTTGAAATATAAGATAAAATCATGATAATATTCTTTCACATATTTAATCTATAAGGAAACTCAAATTCAAATCATGCAATTTAAAATGAAGCAAAGTTGATCTAAGATGGATTGATTGATTGATTGGTGTTTAATGCCACTGTAGACACTATTGTGCTATTTCATGGCAGTCAATTTTTTTGGTGGTGGAAGCAGGAGTGCCCAAATTTAAGAGAACCACCATTCTTTGGTAGTAAAACTGACAATCCTAGTCAATTAAGATTGAAGTCAGGTGCAGCTGCCTCGTGAGGGATTCGAACTCACAACCTCAAAGTTGACAAGCTAGTGATACAGTGGTTCTACTAATTAGACTACTCTGCCACTGAGGCCCCCTTAGATGAATTGAGAAGCTTTTAAGGTCTTGTTTAATCATGTAGCTCCTAACTTTTCGATACTTTTTTTAAAATCCCTGGCTTTCAAATGTTTTGAGTTGAGGGTTCCAGAATGACACTTTGGACGCACATAATTTATGAAGAGTTATTTTTCTTTAAACAATCAATACAAATATGTTTCACATTCAAACTTGATCCAAATACATTTTTTTTAAATCTCATATTTTTTACTTACCATAATCACAATCTTGTGAAAATATGTTTGCTACGGCCCAACCTGTTTCACATTTTAAACTGTACTTGTATTCTGATCTGTAAAAAAAAAATTACCCTATTGAACAACCTTATTAAAAACAAAAATATGAAAATAAATATAATGTCCTTCAAAATATTCAAGTAGAATTAAAGATGAGTTAAATATATATATACCATCATCCAAAATAATCAAGTTTTATCAATGATATGTAAAACAAATTATGCAATACAATCTTGATATACAAACTTTTCAGAGGTCCTTTGGTCCAGTATTAATTAGGAACTTACACATATTTAGTGCAACGGCCCCATTTCCAAAAACTACATTTCCGCGTTGTTTTTCTTTCTTCATACCATTCATATTTCTTGACATTGTTTCTGCAAAAAAATAATAAATATGTTTGGAAAATTACAAAAATAACAAAATAATTAACCATCACATTTATAATAAAAAGCATCTTCACTGCTGAGATTCAGCCATTTTTTAGCAATGACAGGTAGACGGAAATTTTTTCTGATCTCATTTTTAATGAAAAAAAAAAAATTATATATGCTCCTGTAAGACATTTAGAGACAACCATCGCAACTTTGGATAAGTGATTTTGGTCCAAAATATTAATTTGTGTTCAAACCAAAAAGAAACCAAGGGACAATCTAATGTCATATGTTTAAAAACAAAACAGACAACACAAGGATCGAATGTTTTATTTCACCAAAAAATTACCAGTGTTATCTTTCTTTTTTAAACATAGGTATGCAATTTTTCTACCTGATCTTATGATCATTTATTGACTTTTTATAAAAATTATGGAACTGAAGATGAATAGTTCTACATTGTATTTCATTTCCATAATCTTACTCAAAAAATTGTGTTCAATTGCCCAAAGATGGAGAATTTCTCAATTTTCATACAAATTCTTTTGATATTTCAATTTTTAGAACGTGTTCTGATTTCTAATATCTTATTTTTATTCAATTGAATAATTTTTGCATGATTTAAATAGAAATCTTCAAAGGAAGGTGTGGTACATTTTTTATTGAAGTTTGACTTAATAATTTCAGAAAATGCACTTTGTCAACAACAAAAATTAAATAACTAATTTTTTATTTAAATTGGTGTTCATTCTTCATTGAGAAAAATAATTTCCTGTATTCAAATATACAAATACCTTACACTGTTTAATATCAATATAATGCATGGGGAATAAACAAAACAATTTTATTGCAGAAAATCTCCAGGTTAGAGTTATTATTTTAATGTGCGTGTTGCTGTGTGTTTGTTTTTTCTACATTGGCTAGAGGTATAGGGGGAGGGGTTGAGATCTCACAAAACATGTTTAACCCCGCCACATTTTTGTACCTGTCCCAAGTCAGGAGCCTCTGGCCTTTGTTAGTCTTGTATGATTTTTAATTTTAGTTCATTTATATGTTTTGGAGTTTAGTATGACGTCCATTATCACTGAACTAGTACACATTTTTGTTTAGGGGCCAGCTGAAGTACGCCTCCAGGTGCAGAATTTTCTCGCTGTGTTGAAGACCCATTGGTGGCCTTCAGCTGTTTTCAGCTCTTTGATACGGTTGTTGTCTCTTTGACTCATTCCCCATTTCCATTCTCAATTTTATTATGTAATTTTATTTTTTTGTTTCAAGCTAATTAGTGATAATTGTAACTTAAATTTAACCAAAATTATTGACTAATATCAGATGATTATAACACTGATTTTACAAGTAAAATAGACCCTGCTTGCATTTTTTCATACACATTTTGTTTTTTGTCTTTTTTTGGCAAAAAATGTATCTTTTTTATCGTTAATTATTCATCTCTGACAGATAATTCACTGAATAATTTTATGTAGTGTAGATCAAAAGTGATTATAGGTACACTATTGAGGTCAATATTATTGTGTATTCAATTATGTAATACAAGAGATATCAAATGTGGTCAATTAAGGTTGGCATTAAAGTGGAGGGGATTCCAATAAAAAATACTCCACTTTTGAGTGAAATTATTTGTAAACAATGACATTTGTCAATCAGCTCTCTTATTTGCAGAAGAAAAGAATGGGAATAATAACATTCCAAAAAAGTGTGGGAATCAACTTTGATATCAATACAGCCCCCCCCCCCTCCTTTAGTGGGAAAAATTTGGTTGATTATATAGGAAATCACAGAAGCATGACTGGAGCGGGCCCCCTCTTAGGCAGTCAGTGGGCCCCCTCATGAAAATTTCTGGATCTGCCACTGTCAATACTCATCTTGTTCCACATGTTATTCAATTACTTAGTCTTAGATACTGATAAAATACTTTCAATATTCTCATCAACTGCTCAAAGTTGATATATTACTTTTCACATTAATTAATAAATAGTAATCTATTATAAATTTTGATTTACAAAAGAACTGTACGCAAGTCACTGACTCATTTATCTAAAATAAAGGAGCTATTCAACCAATCTTTTCTTAATTTAAGGGCAAGTAACATGTCAAAAGTTGGCAATAGTTAATTGAAATGGTGTATAAAGTTTCTGCACGTCATAAAAACACATAATTAGTTTCATGATATGTCTTCAACTTCCAATTCTGCACCATCTCCAAATCTGGAGTGATCACATAGATCCAGCATGGCTGAATCAAAAATTGTGTAATGATTCAATGGTTCACCCAAAGAAGTACAAAATCCTTACTCCAGTCCAGAAGTAGACCAAGTTACACTGGTCTAGAATTCAGAGGTAGACTCAGTGTAGACCATAAGAAAAAAATAATAATGACTAGACTGACATTGAAAAATATTCATATGTATACATGTCAATTTTCATCCATTCTACTAAATTCTCTGAAAATTTTGATCTGGTCAGTAGCACTTGAGTTAAAAAAATGTTGCAGTATTTTGCAATATTTGGCTTTATATTTTCCAAATTTTTCATTACAGAATTAGACAGAAATTTGGTGAAATTCTTGAAAAAGCCAAAACAATATGTTTGTTTCCTGTCATAAAGAAATAGGTTTAGTAGGTTCACGACATTTCCAATGTTATAACAACTTGTTCATTCAAAGTAGAAAAAAGATTCATAGTCTGATCTAATGACACAAAACGGTTGGCAAGTCAAAAAAAGTTTTATGGTTGGGTCGGTTGGAAGACAGGAAACAGAGTCCCACCTCTGTTTTTGGTCTTATTACCAAGAATATCTTAGCCAAACTTTACTCAATTCTTGAAACTAAAAAAAATAAAATAAAAATCCATATTTCTCCATGACCTGAAATTGAACCAAAATGATATTCATTTCACCACAATTTCTTTTATAGTCCTGTTAACGTTGCATCATTCTTAAAATACTTTTGCTAGGGGGAGAAATTTTAATTATTTCTTATCAGAAAACTGTATCAAAATAAACCTAAAATATGTGACAATCAAAAGTTAGATAAAGCACTATAAAAATAATGAGGCCAAAATAGACACTATCATTAATTCTATCTATCTATCTATCTACATTATACTTCTTAACGACAATATGTTGAAGATTACAAGAAGGCACATACTGGGGAAAAAATTTAAAATCTGAACGTATTTACAATAATTTCAAAATTTTTTTTTTTTTTATTCTTGTCATGCTTTTACTAAATTATAAGAAAAAAATCATCAGTTTCGGAACAAAATTTGTAACTTGTCATGATAAAACTATATACCAATTATCAATTCAATATCTTCAAGCATGAAGAAAAAAAGTGAGGAAAACTGATTATTTGAGTGAATTTTCTAAGTCCAAGGACCATAACTCTGCACAAAATCATCAGACTGGAACAAAATTCGAACTTGATCTGTTACTTGTCATGATAAAACTATATACCAATTATCAAATCAATATCTTCAAGCATGACGAAAGAAAAGTGCAGAAAACTAATTATTTAAGTGAATGTTATAAGTCCAGGCCAAGGACCATAACTCTGCACAAAATAATCAGACCAGAACAAATTTCGAACTTGATCTGTAACTTGTCATGATAAAACAATACACCAAATACCAAATCAATATCTACAAGTATGTAGAAAAAAAATGTGGACAGACAGACAGACAGACAGACAGACAGACAGACGGAGTGCAAACCTGAAGTCCCCTTCGACTTCCGAAGTCGGTAGGGGACTAATAAAAGAAAGTAGGCAGAATTAAATATGTTATCAAAATTTGCAGGACTGTCAGATTTTATCTCTTAAATCTAGGGCAATTTATTATGTTGGTTAAAAGCTCAGTAGAGCTTATGTTATGTCTTTGTTTTGTAATCTATGCTGACTCTAAATAAAGCTTATTTATTATTATCAAAAGGTAAAATATTGATAGTTTTCAACATAAACTTGATCCAATACATGTGCAAGACATTAAAAATAGTACTTGATTAAAATTTTTTTTAAAACCTTATCATTATTTGTCATTTGTCTGAAATAACAGGTTAGAGGAAGTTTTTGTAAGAGTTTTTATATGGTCTAACACTCACATGTAAGTAACAGTGCAGTAATGATTGCTAAATTTCAATAGAAGTGTCACAAATTCCCCAAAAGTGATCAGTTCTATTAGAAATTATGTTATTTCAGATGTTTAACATATCATAGGGTTATCAAATGGAGCTACATTTATTGGTAATACATTAGAATTTTTACATATAACACTCCCAACATTGCCTTGGTAGTCTCAGTCTCAAGAAAATACTTTCATGTTCCACCAAGAATCCTAATGGTCTGGCCAGTTTTTTAAAAACACTAATATTATACAATTTATGATAAAATGATAATCAAGGTCAGCAGTGCTATGCCAATTCCTGACCTAGTTATATCCATTAACATGATTAAGTTGGTTTGGGGAACTAGCTGGATTCTATCCTATACATTCATAACACATATGCCAAGTTCTAAATATTAAAGTTCAGGATTCAATATCACCAGTAACAACTAACACAAGTTCATGTAAAAATGTACATAACAACTAGCTGACCCTCAACAATTATATATTATATTTATCATATTTCGAATTATTCAATTACAGTATTACTTAATATCTTGACTTTAAATAATAATACTTAATATATATCTATATCTTATTGTCAAATCAACAAGTCTTTGTCACATAATCAAAATATTATTAATGTAATAAATCTCTTTTTAAAATGTTTTATTTTACTCTTCCCAAATTCTGAACTCTATATTGACATTTAGGGAGCTACCATTTCATTTTTATGGGGGGGCTAGGATGAAAAATTTTGTCCTGCATTTTTTTTTTAGTTGTAATCTCTGTCCTGCCTTTTTATTTTTCACTCTATTCGGTCCTGCCTTTTTTTTTATTAGTTTATCCTGACTTTTTTTTACATAAATTGTCATCCTGCCTTTTTTTT